CCTGAGAATTATTAAGAATGAGTGTTGGGGCTGGAGCTGTAGCTCAGTGGCAGAGCACTTGCCTACCATGTGTGAGGCACTGGGTTCGATCCTTAGCATCACATAAAAAAATGAAACAAATAAAGGCACTCTGTCCATCTACAACTATTTAAAAAAAAAAAAAAGAATGATTTTTGAGTGGCATCAAATGATTTTCTTGTATCTATTAAGATGTCTCCCCCCATATTTTGTTAATATGGTGAATGACATTTATTTTGGGGGGGGTAGGGTCTGCTATTATATGAGCATTGCATTCTTGGACTAAACGTTACCCGGTTGTGATAATATCATTCTTTTTAATATTGCTGGACTTAATTTGCTGAAAATTTGCTTAGGTTTTTTTCACCTAAATTTATGGGAGATATTTATTTTTAGTTCTCTTTCTGATATTAGTACTAGGACTTTGCTTTCCTTAATAAACAGGTTGTGAAGTATTCCATTCTTTTGAGTTCTCCAAGTTTGTGTATTGTTTTTTTCATTATGTGCCCAATGGAATTCATCAGTGAACCCACTGAGTTTTCTTTGTTGGCAAGTTTCACAAATTCAGCTTTTTTATTATTTTCTATTTCATTGATTTTCCTTTGATGTTTATTGTGTGTGATCCACTTGCTTTTTCTTTTTCTTTTTTTTTAAAAATATTTATTTTTTAGTTGTAGTTGGACACAATGCCTTTATTTGACTTATTTTTATGTGTTGCTGGGGATCGAACTCAGGGCCTCACGCATGCTAGGCAAGCACTCTACTGCTAAACCCCAGCTCCAGCCCTTGCTTTTTCTTTAGTTTGCCTAATATCAGGGTTTGGCAGAGTCCATTTGTTGGAACACAGCTGTGCTTATTTGTACTGTATTATCAAATTTTATGTGTTTTAGTGGCAGAGTTGAGTTGCAGGAGACATGGTATCATCTTGAGAAATTTTTACAGTTTAGCTCTTCACAGAAAAAAATTTGATTTCTGACCTAGAGAATTGATTTTAGCCCTTTTCCTTGATGAATTTAAAACTACAAATTTGCTTTCACATATTTCAGTATGTTACATTTGTGTTTGTTATTGATTTGTAGTTTGATTCTATTGTTGTCAAAGAACACATGACTTAAAACCTTTGAAATTAGTAAGGATTTTCTTTATTTACCAACAGAATCTGTTTTGATTGATAACTTCCTGTATACTTTAATGTGTATATTATATAGATCTTGGATATAATAGTGTTTGGTTTGGTTTTGTACTGGAGATTGAACCCAGGGATGTTTTACCATTGAACTACATGCTCAGTCCTGTTTGTTTTTCATTTTAAGATAGGGTCTCGATATGGTGCTGAGTCTGGCCTCTAATTTGTGATTCTCCTGCCTTAGCCTCCAAAATTGCTGGGATTACAGCTGTGTGCCACTGGGCTTTGGCCTTAGGTATGACTTTAAAAAAAAAAGTCTCCATTGGTATTTGCTGAGCTTCTTGGATCTATGGGGTTCAAATCTTTCATTATTAGATTTTACCTTCAACTATTTCTCTATCTTATGAAACTGCAGTTGTTAATACACTAGATCTTTTAATGTTATTCTTCAGTCTAGGTGATTTACTACTTTAAAAATTTTGAACTCACTTCTAATTTCAGCTTTGTTACACGGCTCCTTTCTCTGTCAAGATCTTGGGAACCAAGATCTGGAAGAGTACAAGTTCTGTCTTTGCTTTCAGGCCACTTTCTTCTAATGACTATTGCTTATTCCACAGAAGTTCTTTGAAGGATAAGTGGACAGTAGTGGAGACTGGTTTTCTTCTTGGGGCTCTTACAGATTCTGTTCTGCCTATTCCCAGGCATTAAAAGTGTGGCTGGTTTCTCTGCTTTTTGGGGGAAGATCTTTGCCTACAACTCTATTTTTTTCTTTATGTATTTAGGTAGGGTAAATGCTACTAAGGGTTGAAAGCAATAGTAATTTCTGGTCAACTAGAGAAGTCTGGTCCTTCTCGAAAATTCAGTTCATTTAGACTTACTTGTGTCCAGAAATCTTTAGTGGCTTTTAAGAAAAATAATTTATTTAGTGTTTCTCATTGAAGTGATGATTTTCTGTGATCTTGACATTCTGATTGAAAGTGGAAGTCCTCCATTGGTGGATTTTTTAAAGTTTTATTTTTAATTTTTTATTTTTTCTAATTAGTTATGCACGATAGCAGAATGAATTTTGATTCATTGTACACAAATGGAGCACAACCTTTTCTCTGATTGTACATGATGTAGAGTCATACCACATGTGTAGTCATATATGTACTTAGGGTAGTGATGTTCATCTCATTCTACCATCTTTACTGCCCCCATGCCCATTCCCTTTCCCTCCCTTCCCTTTGCCCAAAGTTCCTCCATTCTCCCCTCCCCCCCCCACATCCCCCATTATCAATCAGCATCAATTATCAGAGCAAACATTCAGCCTTTGTTTTTCTGGGATTGGCTTACTTCGCTTAGCATGATATTTTCCATCCATTTGCCTTCAAATGCCATGATTTTATTCTCTTTTAATGCGGAGTAATATTCCATAGTTTATATGTACCACAGTTTCTTTATCTATTTGTTGAAGGGCATCTAGGTTGGTTCCACAGTTTAGCTATTGTGAATTGAGCTGCTGTGAACATTGATATGGCTGGGTCACTATAGTATGCTGATTTTAAGTCCTTTGTTATAGATCAAGGAGTGGGCTAGCTGGGTCAATGGTGATTCCATTCCAAGTTTTCTAAGGAATCTCCATACTGTTTTCTATAGCGGTTGCACCAATTTGCAGTGCCACCAGTAATATATGAGTGTACCTTTTTCTCCACATCCTCGCCAACACTTATTCTTGCTTGTATATTGATGGGTTTTTAATTAAGGTTAAGATTTTATGTTGTTCAGGAACCATTCATGTAATGGTTGCTGTGCATATTTGAGATAAATCTTTGTAAAGACGGTGACTTTAATCGGAATTAGTAGTAAAAAGATTAGTGCTTTATTAATGATGGATATGTGCTGCAAATATATTTGTTTCGTAATTAGATACTAAAGTGAAGGTTTGTGTGAAATCATTTGAGGTACTACATAGGTTTTTGTTTAAGGTGAGCTTGAAAGGATTGAGAAGAGATTGTATTTGGACTTTGAAAAGCATACCAGGTGTTTACACTTTTTATTTAGTTTCCAAAGACTTTGAAATGCTTTTGAACAAGAAAATAACAGGAATTCAATTGAATATTTTAGAAAGATAGCTTCAATAATGAAGATTATGAATGTAAAAGTGCCTGAATTATTGGGTATCTAATTAGATTGCCTTATTTTCTTCCCTTTGAGTCCTCAACTGCCTCACTAGTTTTTTGATGTCTTCAAATGGATTTTAAAAATTTTTTTGCGGGGGGGAACCCTTGAAGTCTGGCTTTTCTAGTATTAAATAGAGAGTTACTCTGCTACGAGCTAGTCTGCTATGGAAATTGAAACTTACCTACTTTATTTTAAAGTGATTGACTGGACCAAAATATGAGTGCATAAATGCTGTGTGTTTATGTGTAGAAAAGTGCCATCTTTAGTGTTAGACTGAAGTGAAGAAAATATGCCCATAATTCTACTTGATTATCTCTTATTTGTTAGTGAAAGGGTGTCGTGGTAATATGTAGGGTTTTTTTTGTACTGAGGATTGAACCAAAGTACTTTATCACTGAGCTACATCTCCAGCCTTCCTTATATTTTATTTTGAGACAGGATCTTCCTAGGTTGCTATGACTAGCCTCAAACTTGGGATCCTCTTGCCTCAGCCTCCTAAGTTGTTGCGATACCATCATACATGGTGTATTGCTAACATTTTTGACTTGTGTAGATATGTGGGGGAAATCTTAGAGATACAGAGATTTAAGAGTTTTGTATTCCCTATATCTTGAGAATTCTAATTCCAGCTGTACCATTTTACATAGAATCTTATATAATTAAACTTGAGTCCAGCTATGTCCTCAAGGTATATTGGTATAATTTTTATCCTTTCAATGACTATTTATTAATAGTGTTTTAAAAATTTTTTTGTAGTTATAGATGGACAGAATGCCTTTATTTTGTTTATTTTTTAGTTTTAGGTGGATACAATATCTTTATTTTTATGTGGTCCTAAGGTTTGAACCCAGTGCCTAATATGTGCTAGGCGAGCACTCTACCACTTGAGCCACAAACCCAGCCCAGTAGTGTTTTTTATTTGAAAAAATTACCCACAGATTCTTTACATTGGAAGTGAGTTTTTAAAGTTGTGAAAAATTGTAACAATATTGTGAATATCCTAAAAACACTGTGTACTTCAACATGGTTAAGATGTCTCAAAATAAAATGTGCTGGGGATGCAGTTCAGTGGCTAAGCACCTCTGGGTTCAATCACTAGTAAAACAGCCGCCGCCCCCGCGCCGCCCCCAAAACAAAACAATGCACACACAAAAACTGGTAATGTAGCTTCATAGGAGGATGCCTCTGGGTTCCATCCCTACGCCCACAACAATCAAAAAAAAAAAAAAGATGTTAGGTTTTGTGTTAGATAAGATCAGCTGGCAATTTGTAAAACTTTTCCTAGTTTGTTGCAATTCCTAGTTGAGAAGTTGCAATTTTTCTTTGCTTACAATTGTTAGTGTGTCAATATTTGTATGATTTTTGGATCAGTGCCAGCTGAGTTTTAAAATCCCTTGAGTTCCTTGAAAAATAAGTGTTATAATGTATCCTGAATTTCTAATTTAATAATAAAAGAGTAAACCTTACTCTTTCTTTGTATTTTTTTAAATGAAAAATTGACCAAAAAATGTAAAAGTGTAATCCATTGATACACTGCTTTTGAGATCTTATTAGGTTATACAGAGTATTTTGGAGGAATATTTCATGAGATCTGATGTGTTACTTTGTTTCAAAACCTTTTTTCCTTCTGAGATTTGTTTATGGATAATAGATAGTTCTGTACTTTCTGTTCCTCCCTCCCTTGTCTCTTCAGCTTTGTCGGGAACAATTTTAAAGATGGCTCCCATATTGCCTCACCATTAGACCCGAATGGAAACTTCAATGTTGTCATTAAAGAGGAACCTCTAGATGACTATGACTATGAAGTTGGTGGATGCCCAGAAGGGATCACTATAAAACAGGAAGACACAGATGAAGAAACAGATGTATACTCAAACAGTGACGATGATCCTATATTAGAGAAACAACTAAAAAGGCACAATAAAGTTGATAACTTAGAAACTGATCATCCATCTTCTAAATGGCTACCAAACAGCCCATCAGGTGTTGCTAAAGCTAAAATGTTCAAATTAGACACTGGAAAGATGCCTGTAGTCTATTTGGAGCCCTGTGCTGTCACCAAAAGCACAGTGAAGATTTCTGAACTGCCTGATAACATACTTTCCACATCTCGAAAGGATAAATCTCCTGTGTTGGGAGAATTAGAATATTTGCCTACATATATTGAAAATTCTAATGGTACTAGTTTCTACTTAGGCAAGGAATCAGAAAATGGTCTTAGAAAACATTCACTGGATCTCAGAGTAGTACAAAAATGTCCCTTAGTTAAAGAACCTCAATGGAAATGTCCTGATATGTTCGACAGCATTAGCTCAGAAAGAGTACTTGACAGTTCAAAGGGTTCAACTGGGGATTCATTTTCAGGAAAAGAAGACCTGAGTAGAAAGCGAACAACTATGTTTAAAATCTCAGGAACCTCAAAGAATGTAAATGCCAATCAGAATGCCTCTTCTAATGTCCCTGGAAAAAGAGGAAGGCCTCGAAAATTGAAATTCTCTAAGGCAGGACGACCACCTAAAAACACAGGAAAGACTTTAACTTCTTCCAAGAATACCCCTATAATCCCTAGTGGTACCTTTCCTGATGTGAAGCCTGATCTTGAAGATGTGGATGGTGTTCTCTTTGTTTCCTTTGAGTCCAAGGTAAGAATGTAATTTCCATCATTCTTTCCAAGGCCTATTAGTCATTCTTCACGTCTATATTGGCTGATAACTAACTCCCATTTTGTGAATAATGGATAGATAGCAAGGGTGTGATATAGAGGGGAAGTGCCTCCATAGTGTTTGATTTAGTAAGCAGTCGTCACTTAAGATATTTTATTTGAATATACTTTTAAAAATTATGTCTGATTGGGCATGGTGATGCATGCCTATAAATCTCACCTAGTTGGGAGGCTAAGGCAAAAGGATAGTAAGCTCAAGGATAGCCTGGGCAATTTAGGCAGACCCTGTTTCGAAAAGGGCAGGGAATGTATCAGTGGTAGAGCAGCATGATTCTTTTCAGTATTTAGATGCTGCGGTTGAGTTTTTCAAACCTTGAGTCTTACTACAATTTTCATCATTATGTACTTTTAAAAGGCATAAGAAGCCATGTGTGGTATTGCAGCCTCCATCATAGCTACTCAGGAAGCTGAGGCAGGAGAATCACAAGTTCAATGCCGGTCTGAGCAACTTTAGACCTTGTCTTCAAAATAAAAAATAGAAAGAGCTGGGGTTGTAGCTCAATGGTAGAGCAATTGCCAAGCATGCTTTTTTTTTTTTTTTAAAGTTTTAGGTGGACACAGTATCTTTTTATGTGATGCTGAGGATTAAACCCAGTGCCTCGCGCATGCCAGGCAAGCGCGCTACCACTTGAGCCACATCCCCAGCCCGCCTGTTGTAGCCATAAAAGGGAAGGGGGGCATAAAAAGTTAATCGACTCTGGGTACAATGGTGCATGCTTGTAATCACAGTGATTTGGGAGGTTGCAGCAGGAGGATTGTGAGTTCAAAGCCAACTGTAGCGGTTTATTGAGGCCCTAAGCAACTCAGATAGACCCTGTCTCTAAATAAAAAATAAACAGGGCCTGGAGTTTGGGCTCAGTGGCTAAGTACCCCTGAGTTCAAACCTTCTGTCCCCCACCCCCGCCCCGCAAAAAAGAAAAAAAAAAAAAAAAAGTTCATTTCCGCTTTGGAGACATCGCATCCAACCCTTTCACTTCTAATCCCTGGCCAGTATTAATGGAATGCTATTGGGGAAATAAATGTTTAATAGTCTTCTTAGTTCTGCTGTCATACACATTGATATCATTTCTTTTTTTTCTTTTTGAGACATAGTCTTGCTGAGTTGCTGAGTGCCTCAATAAGTTGCTGAAGCTGGCTTTGAACTCTCAATCTTCCTGCCTCAGTTTCCCGAGTTGCTGGGATTACAGAAATGGGCCACCACACCCAGCGATATCGTTTCTTTTTAAAATTCAATTTCAACTTTCCAACCAGATTATTTTTCTTTTTAATTTTTGCAAAGTCACCGTCTTTCTAGGTTGGCTATAAACAGATGTTGGATGTTTAATTCTATTCTTTTCCTCCCTCCTTGTTAGTTGCTGAGTAAGTTATATTTAGGCTTTAAGCAGTAAGTATGTAAATTAGCATAAGTTTAAGTTTAGCTGAGTAATTGTGTGTGTGTGTATTTCTTTTTCTTCTTTTTTTTTCCCCCCTTCATTTTCAGGATCAAACCCAGGTCCTCAGGGCTGGGGATGTGGCTCAAGTGGTAGCGCGCTCGCCTGGCATGCTTGCGGCCTGGGTTCGATCCTCAGCACCACATACAAACAAAGATGTTGTGTCCGCCGAAAACTAAAAAATAAATATCAAAAAATTCTCTCTTAAAAAAACAAACAAACAACAACAACAACAAAAAAACAGGTCCTCACATGTGCCAGGCAGTGTTATACCACTGAACTATATTCCCAGCTCATGATTATTAAAGTAATGTTAGTGTAGAACATTAAAAAAAAAAAAAAACCCGAAGTTATGGGAAAAAAAAGTTGCTCCAGTTCTGTGAATTTGGAGTTAAAACTGTATACATGGAGGTGTTTTCCTAGGTTTTAAATTTTTATTTTGTAATGCTGATTTACTTTTAAAAGTTTTAGAAGTGATACTAACTGCATTTTATTTTCATTTTTAATATGTAGGAAGCTCTAGATATTCATGCAGTTGATGGGATAACAGAAGAACCATCTAATCTCCAGGCAACAACCACAAATGACCCAGGTATTGCATAATAGTGTAAAATGAGATACATTTGTGGTTTATCCTCTGGTAGTGAAATATGCATCGTTACTCTTCTGTGTTATACAATATTTTTGGGTTTGTTTTGTGAGTAGGTTGCAGAGAAAGAATTTCCCAGTTGGAAAAGGAATTGATAGAAGATTTGAAGTCTTTGAGGCACAAGCAGGTGATACATCCAGGTCTTCAAGAAGGTAATATTCTCTAAAACATACGCAAGTCAAGTTGTTCTTTTCTTCTTCTCCTCTCCCCTGCTTTGCTTCTACTTTCTCCTCCACCCCGGTGTTTTATTCCTTCCTTTTATCTTTAAATACAATGTTAGGACAAATGAACTCAGGGCCATATACATGCTACACAATTACTTTGCCTTTGAGCCATGTCCCCAGCCTCTTGATTTCATTTCTCAGTTTCCAATTTTTTTTTTTTTTTTTTTGCTTCCACAGTTTTCCTTTTAACATAAAAGCATATCTAGGTCTTCTTTATCTTAATAGCTTGGGTATGGAAAAAATGTATCATGGTAAGAAAGTGGTATTTTCTCTGTTTATTCTTGTAGCCCATTGTTTTCCCTCTGCCCCCATCTCATTGCTTAGTTGTTTTTGTTTACATGCTTATTGGGGAGTGTCCTACTTGTTCCTATATCCCTAGTAATATATTTAGGTGTATAAATAGAAGAATACTTTTTTTTCAATTTTGTGACTGCAAACATATATTTTATATATTTGTATCATTGGGTCTTTAATTTAAAATTTTAATTATTATCTTTATTGTAATAGATTATCTTGGCCTAGATTATGTTGCTTAATCCTTTTTTCTGATAATAAAATATATAGTTTCTATAATCATGTTAATACTTAACTATTCCTCTTTACATTGTTATTTTTTTTCCCAATCTTTCTTTACAATGTTTAAAGTCTCCTACCTTTTTTTAAGGTACTCTACTATGGTATACATAGTCTTATTTAAACCATAATTACTTATAAATACACTAATTTAACTTTTTCATTTATTGTACAAAACAGGACAATGAATAAGACATTATTGTTATGATTTTGCAGATGAGAAAAATTAGAGCTCAGTGAGTTGAGCAAGTGCACACAGTTTTGTTTAGTACCACATCTCAAAGCCAGTGTTTGACAGTTTTATTTGAATGGATATTTTTGTTTGCTTCTACTTTTTTTGTTTTCATATGTATCCCAGAGAGTATTTTCTCCCAATATTTGCTGTCTATTTTAGTCTGTCTGTATTAAAAGAAAAAATTCCAAAGGGAAAAAAAAAAGATTGGGAGATGCCACAATTTTTCGTTTGTCATATCCTTGATTTTAGGTGGATTTCTTGGAGAGCTTATTGTATTTTTAAACTCTTAGCAGTTTTCAAGGAACTGTTTATATTATAATTATTTAACTGAGAGTTTAAACATTACAAATTGTCCAACAAAAGATTGACTTATAAAATGATTATTTAATTACCAAATCAAATGGTAGTACTTATATGATTTTTGCCTTAATGGAAGGCAGTTTGTTTGACAGTGCTACCTAAAGTATGGAAATCCTAATCTCCACCTAAAAGTGATAAGGACTGAATGCAGTAGATATTGTAATGGACAGTCACATCTCAGCAGTTTTGCTGTTTATCAGTTAACCTGCTTATCTTGTACCCTCTTCCATTTCTACTTTTAGTTATATACTGTACTTTAGTAGTGTAGAAATATTGTGACATTATATTGTGTTCTTTTGACTTAAAATCAAGTTTGTTTTAATTTTGGTTTTAGAATTAATATCCAGTGCCCACATCCAGTCTTTTTTTGCTCTAATTGCCTGTTGCTTACTGATTGGCTAAGGTTTGGCTTTTCCCCCTATTATTGCAGACATTTTTGCCAAAACTGATCTTTTTCATTATGGAATGGGGAATTCAAAGTCAAATGCTTATGGAATCTTAAGTGGGTGACAAAGTGAAATTAGTGGGAATTTGAGTTGGTCTTTGCAGGCCTAGAGTATCTTTTAAAGAGAAGGCCACATCATTGAATTGTTTTAATAGGAAAATTTGGGCCTAGTGTTCTTAGGTCTTGTATTTTTCATTTGAAATTAGAGTGAGTCAGTTACATGAGGTCCCTCAATTTTTACATGGTGACAGCTAGAGTTAGTTTTTTGGCAGGAAACTCAAGACTTTAAAGCCAAATAAAACATTTTTATGATCCATCACTTTTCACTTTATTTACACGATTCAGCATTTAGTTTAAGTCTGTACTTAATCCAAAAGTTGTTAAAATTTATTCAATCGTAAGCTGGGCACTGTGGGGTACACGTATAATTCCAGTTAATTGGGAGGCTGAGGTATGGGAGGATCACTTTTGAGCCCAGGAGTTTGACACCAGTCTAGGCAGTATATCAGACCCCGTTTCAAGAAAAAATAGCTAGGTGTGGTAGCACATTACTATAATACCGAGCTACCTGGAAGGCTGAGGCAGGAGGCTGGCAAGTTCAAAGACTTAGCAATTTAGGGATCAAAAGAGCTGGGGAGGTAACTTTAAAACTATTGCCTACTAGTATGAATACTGGGTTCTCTCCCCAGCCCTGGGAAGAGGGTGGATCAGCTAGATTCCCCTTTTTTTTTTTTTTGGTGGTGATGAGGGGTACTAGGGATTGAATTCTGGGCACTCAACCACTAAATCACATCCCAGCCATATTTTGTATTTTATTTAGAGATAGGGTCTCACTGAGTTACTTAGTGCCTTGCCGTTGCTAAGGCTGACTTTGACTCATGATTCTTCTGTCTCACCCTCCCAAGCCACTGGGATTACAGGCATGTGCCACTATGCCTGGCTTAGCTGGATTCCTAACAGTTTTATTTTCTTAAAGAGTTAACTCTGAATCCTAGTAGTACTTAAACTTTTCAAGGTGTGAGATAGTTCTTTTATGGAGTTCTTCCCTCTATTTTCACTTTTGTGATATTTCTCCCAATCTTTGTTTCCTTTAAATAGCTAGATTTATAGTTTTAAAAGGAGAAATTAAGCCCCGTATAGTGGTGCATTTCTGTAATTCCATCGACTTTGGAGGCTGAAGCAGGAGGACTGAAAGTTCAAGGCCAGCCCCAGCAATATAGCAAGGCTCTAAGCAACTCACAAGACCCTGTCTCAAAATAAAATGTAAAAGCAGCTGGGGATTTAGTTCAGTGGTAGAGCACCCTGGGCTCAATCCTTAGTATTGTGGGGGAAAAAAATAAATAAGTTTTCTTTATTTGTTCTTAGGACTTGGTACCACTTGGAGGACAGTTCAAAATATAGGAGTAAATGTAGACAAGACAATGGATAGGAAACAGTCTCTAAATCTGATTGTATGAGTCTTGATTTTAAATATTTACCTATTTGCCAAAATGAGCACATTTTAAGTTTTCTTTTGTCATAGGCATGTGTTCTGGCTTTTTTTTTTTTTTTTTACTGGGGGTTGAACGAAAGATTTGACACAGGATCTCACTGAATTGCCCAGGCTGATCTTGAACTTGTTGATCCTCCTAAGTAGCTGGGATTACAGGCGAGTGCCACCACATATGGTTTGTTCTGTCAGGTTTTTTTTTTTTTTAATTTGATTGATTTAATTTTTTTTTAAAGAGAGAGAATTTTCATTTATTTATTTATTTTAGCTTTCGGCGGATACAACATCTTTGTTTGTATGTGGTGCTGAGGATCGAACCCGGGCCGCACGCATGCCAGCCGAGTGCGCTACCGCTTGAGCCACATCCCCAGCCCCGATTTAATTTTTTTAATATTTATTTTTTAGTTGTAGTTGGACACAACACCTTTATTTCAATTATTTATTTTTGTATGTGGTGCTGAGGATGGAACCCAGGGTCTCGCACGTGCGAGGCGAGCGCTCTATCCCTGAGCCACAACCCCAGCCCATTTTATTTTTTTTAAATACATGACAACGGAATGCATTATAATTCTTATTACACATATAGAGCACAATTTTTCATCTTTGTATATAAAGTGTGTTCATGCCAATTCATGTCTTTATACATGTACTTTTTTTTTTGTAATTCTTACTACACATATGTACCACAATTTTTCAAATCTCTGTTTGTATATAAAGTAGGTTGACACCCAATTTGTGTCTTTATACATGTACTTTGGATAATGATGTCCATCACATTCCACCATCCTTGCTAATTCCCTGCCTCCTCCCTTCCCCTCCCACCCCTCTTTCCTATCTAGAATTCATCTATTCCTCCTATGCCCCCCTCCCTATCCCACTATGAGTCAGCCTCCTTGTATCAGAGAAAACATTTGGCACTTGTTTTTTTGGGATTGGCTAACTTCACTTAGCATTATCTTCTCCAACGCCATCCATTTACCTGCAAATGCCATGATTTTATTCTCTTTTATTGCTGAGTAAAATTCCATTGTGTATATATGCCACAGTTTTTTTATCCATTCGTCCTCTGAAGGGCATCTAGGTTGGCTCCACAGGTTAGCTATTGTGAATTGTGCTGCTATAAACATTGATGTGGCTGTGTCCCTGTAGTATGCTGTTTTTAAGTTCTTTGGGTATAGACTGAGGAGGGGGATAGCTGGGTCAAATGGTGGTTCCATTCCCAGATTTCCAAGGAATCTCCATACAGCTTTCCATATTGGCTGCACCAATGTATGAGAGTACCATTTCCCCCACATCCTCGCCAACACTTATTGTTGTTTGTCTTCATATTAGCTGCTATTCTGACTGGAGTGAGATGATATCTTAGAGTAGTTTTGATTTGCATTTCTCTGATTGCTAGAGATGATGAGCATTTTTTTCATGTATTTGTTGATTGATTGTATATCCTCATCTGAGAAGTGTCTGTTCAGGTCCTTGGCCAATTTATTGATTGGGTTATTTGTTTTTTCAGTGCTTATCTTTTTGAGTTCTTTATATACCCTAGAGATTAGTGTTCTGTCTGATATGTGAGAGGTAAAAATTTACTCCCAGGATGTAGGCTCTCTGGTCACCTCACAGATTGTTTCTTTTGCTGAGAAGAAACTTTTTAGTTTGATTCCATTCCATTTATTGATTCTTGGTTTTAATTCTTACGCTATAGGAGTCTTATTAAGGAAGTTCGGGCCTAATCTACACGATGAAGATTAGGGCCTACTTTTTCTACTATTAGATGCAGAGTCTCTGGTTTAATTCCTAGGTCCTTGATCCATTTTGAGTTAAGTTTTGTGCATAGTGAGAGAGATAGGTTTAATTTCATTTTGTTGCATATGGATTTCCAGTTTCCCCAGTACCATTTGTTGAAGATGCTATCTTTTCTCCAGTGCATGATTTTGGCACCTTTGTCTAATATAAGGTAGTTGTAATTTTGTAGGTTAGTCTCTGTGTCCTCTATTCTGTACCATTGGTCTACCAGTCTGTTTTGGTGCCAAATACTATGCTGTTTTTGTTACTGTTGCTCTGTAGTTTAGTTTAAGGTCTGGTATAGTGATGCCACCTGCTTTGCTCTTCCTGCTAAGGATTGCTTTAGCTTTTCTGGGTCTCTTATTTTTCCAGATGAATTTTATGATTGCTTTTTGTATTTCTATCAGGAATGCCACTGGGATTTTGATCGGAATTGCATTAAATCTGTATAGTGCTTTTGGTAGTATGAAAACATTAATTCAGTTTATCCAAGAGCAAGGTAGATCTTTCCATCTTCTAAGGTCTTTGATTTCTCTCTTTAGGGTTCTGTAGTTTTCATTGTACAGATCTTTCACCTCTTTTGTTAAGTTGATTCCTAACTATCTTTTTTTTCCTGTTTTTTTTTTTGAGGTTATTGTGAATGGGATAGTTTTCCTCATTTCCTTCTCAGAGGCATTGCACTGATATACAGAAATGCCTTTGATTTATGGGTGTTGATTTTATATCCTGCTAATTTCCTGAATTCATTTACTAGTTCTAGAAGTTTTCTGGTGGAGTTTTTTGGATCTTCTAGGTAGAGAATCATATCGTCAGCAAATAGTGCTAATTTAAGTTGTTCTTCTTTTCCTATACATATCCCTTTGATTTCTTTGGTCTAATTGCTCTGGCCAGTGTTTCATAGCTTTTGCTAGGTATTCATTCATTAATTCATTCATTCATTTTTTGGCGCTGGGGATTGAACCCAGGGCCTGTGCATGCAAGGCAAGTACTCTACCAACTGAGCTAAATCTCCATCTCCAGTTTTTGTTATTACTAATGAATAATATTTTTCTTTTTCAGAAGACTATAATATCTCCTTTGGTCTTTTGATTAGAATTCATTTCTACCTTGAATTTCTGCTGCTGCTTGTTTTCTGGTTCCACTTTTGATTTTTTCTTCCTATCTTCCTTAATTTCTGCTTGTTCTGACTTTAAGTTACACTTTTGGTAATTTTACTAAAATTACCAAAAAAATTCACTTGGGGTTTTTGCTATTTCTTTTTCTTTTTTAAACCACTAATGGAACTTATTTACCGTATTGTAACTACTAATGAATCAGTTGGAAATATAACACTAATGTTCCTTAAAGTCTGGAGAATGTCTTTTTATCTAAGATGATTTGTATTATAGTCTAAGATGATTTGTATTATAGAAAAGGTAAATTCTCAAAGCATATAGCCCAATGTGTCTGATTGATGTTCATTTTACCATTGTGGAAACTACAGCCAAAGAGAAGTTTAGCCCAGGTTTCATGATTAAGAAATAGTGAAGACAATATTTAAAAAAAAAAAAAAGAAAGAAAAAAACAGTTGTTGGGACTCATAATCTTATCCCTTTAGTTGACTTGTAATCTGAGGAAAGAAAGTTTTATTCTATTGAATTTTGTGTTAATTACTTCGTGCATTTAAATAAATGTGATAAAGTAAAGTACTTAAAGAGGCAGAATTGCAGATAGGTTCTATGTGGTTAATACACAAATTAGCCATATGAATTGTGGCCCAATCTACCTGATGTCTTCACCTTTTAGAGAATCAACGCTATGAAATTTTTGTTGAAAACATACACCTATGACTTTTAATAGTTTTACTATAATAATACTTCAAATTCCTCTTGGTTTCCATTTTGTTAAAATTTAAATACTTTCCTAAAAGATTGCTTTGTAATAACATTTAAAGAATTCATATTTATGGGTTCACTTAACCATAATGTCATTAATAATAGCCATAATCAGACTAAAAACTCTGTTGATGGCAAGTTCTGTTTAGAGGTTCTAGAAAGTTTCTGGACCACCGGGGCATAAAAGATCTGAATTCTGCCATTTTGATTTGTTAGTCACCTATTGTTGCTTAATGAGTTACCACACATTTAACAATTTAATATCACATTTGCTGTTTCATGTTTTCTTTGTAATAGCAGTTTTAGCATCGCTTACTTTGGGTCTTCTGTTTAAGGTCTCAGAAATCTGTAATTAAGACATTGCCTAGACTTATTTTCTCATTAGAATCCAGACTGGGGAGGGATCTGCTTCCAGTTTTCCTCAGCATATTGGCAGAATTTATTTCCTTGAAGCTCTATCATGAGGGATACTATACTCTGTATTTTTTTTTTCTAATTTTTTATTGTTGGCTGTTCAAAACATTACATAATTCTTGATATATCATATTTCACACTTTGATTCAAGTGGGTTATGAGCTCCCATTTTTACCCCATATTATACTCTGTATTTTAATCACATACATATATCCTCATCCCTTTTGCTACATTCCATTGGTTGGAAACAAATCACAGACCTTAATCATACTCAAATGAGTAATATGAGAAATGTGGATTATAGGGTCACCTTAAAATAATTCTGTCACTGTTAATTTTTATTTAAAATAAATTAATTTGGTTGTCACCATCTCCTTTTTCTCTGTTAACTGCTCCCTTCCCCCAGTCAAAGGTTAAAAAACAAAAAGGAGATAATATGATTTGTTTTTTTTTTTTTCCCCCTTATAGTGGGTTTAAAGTTGAATTCAGTGGATCCAACAATGAGCATTGATCTTAAATACTTGGGAGTACAGCTACCTTTGGCTCCAGCTACTAGCTTTCCTTTTTGGAACCTTGTGGGAACCAACCCTGCTTCTCCTGGTGAGTGTATAGCTTTTATAAAGCCAAATACTTTTTTTTAGATTAAAGTTTAGGTAATTTATGATATATGTTCAGGATAGTTTATGGCAGATGTTTTGTCTCTTGGCAGAGTATTAATAAGTGATTTATACATTTTCGATAAGACTTGATCTTTTTTCTTATGATGTTGACTTGCTGGAATTTGGTCATCTCTTTTACTTTTTCTTTTATAGATGCTGGATTTCCCTTTGTTTCTAGGACTGGGAAGACCAATGACTTCACCAAGATCAAAGGATGGAGGGGGAAATTTCATAGTGCGTCTTCATCTAGGAATGAAGGTAGTTAGTTTTTTAAAATATTCTAAATATAAGGGGCTGGGGTCATGGTTAGCGGTAGAGCGCTCGCCTTGTGCATGCAGGGCCCTAGGTTCAATCCTCAGCACCACATATAAATAAATAAAAGTTATTGTGTCCAACTACAACTATTAAAAATAAATATTAAAAAAACTCTAAATATGCTCTGAAACATAGCTACAAATTTTTGTTAAAAGTCTTAGTTAACCATTGTTTTATATTCCTTCTCTCTAGCATTTAAACTGAACTGAATAATTGTCTCGTTAATTTGTTTTCCCCATAACCACAATCTTGAGGGTGCAGTCCCTGCTTTTTTTTAATACTGGCAATTGAACTTCGGCGCACTCAATCACTGAGCCACATCCCCAGCCTTTTTTGTATTTTATTTAGAGACAGGGACTCATTGAGTTGCTTAGCGCCTTGCTTTTGCAGAGGCTGGCTACTCATGATTCTCCTGTCTCAGCCTCCCTAGCTGCTGGGATTACAGGTATGTGCCACTGTGCTTGGCTCCTGCATTTTTTTAAACTGCATTTTCTTTTTTTTACCCCGCTACAGTTACAAAAAGCATCATTCCTTAATGTTATTTCAGAACTGTGTACTTTAGAGCTTTGTAATAATTCCTGATAGTCTTATACTTAAAAGTAAACTTGTAATCCAAGCATTTTGACTGTGTGCCAGTTGGTCTACTGCTTTTTCTTTCACACTAAACTTCCTTGCTGTTATACTCTAACTAGATAAATCGACTTTTTGTCCAAAATAGTCTTTTTTTTTTTTTTTAATCTTTGAATCTTTTTATAGTGTTAAAACAGTAGAGTCCTTGACTCTCTCCTGAACTTATTTTTTTCTTCCTTAAAAGCTAAATATTGGAGCCGGTGTGGTGGTGGATACCTGTAATCCCAACTACTTGTGAGGCTGAGGCAGGAGGATTGCAAGTTTGAGGCCAGCCTGGGCAATTTAGCAAGACCTTGTTTCAAAATAAATTCTCATAAAAATGGTGTGGGACTGTAACTCTGTGTTATTGTTCTTGTTTAGCATGCACAAGGCTAAGTATCTTTTGTCTCCTTATTTCTAGGTGGAAATTCAGAAGGTTCACTGAAAAACCGTTCTGCTTTCTGTAGTGATAAGCTAGATGAATACTTGGAAAATGAAGGCAAGCTTATGGAAACAAGCATGGGTTTCTCTTCCAATGCTCCCACATCTCCTGTGGTATACCAGCTTCCCACCAAGAGTACCAGCTATGTACGAACACTTGATAGTGTACTGAAGAAGCAATCTACCATTTCCCCTTCTACCTCTTATTCTTTGAAGCCTCATTCTGTACCCACTGCCTCTCGAAAGGCAAAGTCTCAAAATAAACAGGCAACACTCAGTGGCCGAACTAAATCATCTTATAAATCCATTTTACCATATCCTGTTTCACCAAAGCAGAAGCACACCCCTGTGATTCTAGGAGATAAGAATACCAAGAATACTTCGAACATCATCGCAGATAATCAGGTGAATAACTTTGCTGTACCAACTTTAGATGAAAATATATTTCCAAAGCAGATTAGTTTGCGGCAGGCGCAGCAGCAGCAGCAGCAGCAACAACAACAACAACAACAGGGAACTCGTCCTCCAGGCTTGTCTAAATCTCAGGTGAAGCTAATGGACCTGGAAGACTGTGCACTTTGGGAAGGAAAACCAAGGACCTATATCACTGAAGAGCGAGCAGATGTATCCTTGACAACCCTGCTTACAGCTCAAGTATGTATTTGCTGTTTTCTGGAAGTATATTGATGCTTGACTAGAAAGGGAATGGGGCCTTTTGGCAGAAGAATCAGGAAATTTTTAGTCACCTGGGTGACAACTAAGATGTCTTGTTCGGTTTTTTATCAACCTGTTTTTCAATTGTAGAGCCCTCCTGCTAAGTTGGGCTTTTGAATAACACCCCTCAGCTGTATAAAGGTAGCTGGCCATTCTGAAAATTTCTGATTTCATTCTTATGTGAACAAATACATTTGCTAATCTTGTTAAAATATTTAAAAATTCTGCTTAAAGGCACCAAATCCCAGAAAATCCAAAGAATTATTAACCTCTGGGGAAAAGTCTTATGTCTTTTATAAAATTTTATACTAAGATTTATACTAATTTATTAATGATACACCTAAGAAGCCTCAAGTGCATTTGAAATGACAGAACAGCCTGTGGATAATTTTTTAGCTTTGAATTTTTATATCGTTATCTTCCATTTTAAAGTTCTGAACTGAACCCTGCGGGTGTAGTGCAGTGGCAGAACATGTACTTTTTGTGTACAGGCCCTGGATTCAGTTCTCAACACTGAAAAAAATTTCTATACTGAATTGTAGAGCTGAATATTGTCAGATGTTGATTGATACTCATTACAGACGGTGTCCTTTATTATGAATCATTCATAGACTTGCACAAATATAATTCTCTTCCCTTTTTATTAATTACTCTAGAGCAAATGCCAGCTGAATATTTACTGTCTCACTATAAAGAGTGAGATAGTAAATATTTTGGACTTTGCAGACTATATATTCTGTTGTAGTTATTTTAACTCCACTGTTGTACCATAGAAAATATGTAAATGAGAAAGCCTGGCTGTGTTCCCTTGAGACTTTATGAAGCTTACTGGATTTGGCCCAGGATCCTTAGGTTTATCAGCCTCTGCTAAAGAACATTATGTGCAGTTTCTGTTTAATAAAATTAACCATCTTTGGTTTTCTTTGCTCATAATTAGAATATCTATTCTCTTGATTACTTGTGCTATGTATTAGAATGGGAGATTACTTAGAATCCTAGTTGTGTGCATTTCTGTCCTTTGAATTTGTGTTATTCTTATGCTGTTAGTACTCAGAAGAAAGGAGACCAATATATGACTGTAAGTTGTTGGTATCAGAGGATGATTTAGTAGAGTTATAATTTTCTGCTTTAACTTTAGGCATCTCTCAAAACTAAACCTATCCACACAATCATAAGGAAACGAGCCCCTCCGTGCAACAACGATTTCTGTCGCCTGGGTTGTGTGTGTTCCAGTCTAGCTTTAGAAAAGCGCCAACCTGCTCACTGCCGTCGACCAGATTGCATGTTTGGCTGCACTTGTTTGAAAAGAAAAGTTGTACTTGTTAAAGGAGGATCCAAAACTAAGCATTTCCAGAGGAAGGCTGTTCATCGAGATCCAGTACTTTATGATGCTCTGGGAGAGGAAACAAGGGAAGAAGGAGTCAGGGAGGAGGAGGAACTACTCAAAGAGAAAAAGAAGAGAAAGAAGCTGGAATACAGTGAGTATTAATTGAGAGTTAAATGTGTAATATTATGTTTTGGAAAAGTATGATTATTTAAAGATAGTATTACCTACTTTCATTTTGATTGATGGTAAGAATTTTGAGAATTCTCATTATCCTTACATGTCCTTTCTTTATAATGTGTTATATTCACACATTTTAAAAAAAATTTTGGTTTTTAGTTGTAGTTGGACACAATACCTTCATTTTATTTATTTATTTTTATGTGGTGCTGAGGATAGAACCCCCGGGCTGCACATGTGCGAGGCGAGTGCTCTACCACTGAGCCACAATCCCAGCCCCTATATTCACACATTTTTAAAATTTAGTTTTTCTTTGAAAATGGCTTTTCTCTGTGTGCTGAATTTGAATCTTACTCCTAGACTTCCAGAATGCTTTTCCTCCATTTTCTGTAATTCTCTACCTTCATTCCTACAAAGGTTCAGCTGTTCCTTGGAAATAATATTGTTTAAAAGGAAAATTTGTAATAAAGGTGTCTCTCTGTTTATGGTTGGAGAAGTTCTCCAAATGGCTGGAGTTTTGGGGACAAATGTTTTGTATTTTATTTAGAGACAGGATCTCACTGAGTTGCTTATGCCTCCCTTTTGCTGAGGCTGGCTTTGAGTTCAGCCTCCAAGCCACGGAGATTACTACCGTGTCCCGCAAAAGCCTTTTTTTTTGGTGCCAGGGATTGAACCCTGGGGGCTTGGGTGCTTTACCATTGAGCCACATCCCCAGCACATACATACCCCCCAAAATATAGTTTTTAGTTGTAGATGGACACAATACCTTTATTTTATGTATCTATGAACCACTGCGCCTGGCTAGAAAGCTAATTTTTTTCATTTTGGACAAATGTGGTATAGACCCAAATTCGCTTTTATTTTATTCTCAACTTTTCACTTACTGTGATTTCTTTGTATTCAAATATTATTACATATGATTTCATTATGTAAAGGGTTTCTTGTTTCTTAATTTACCAGGGAATTAATATTCCTTTTTTGGGCAGTTTATATTTCTTATTGTTTACTATGTACTCATTTTAATCAGAGATGATGACTAATATTTCTTTTTTGGGGGGTGGGGGCAACAGTGTTTGGGATTGAACCCAGGGCTTGTGCAAGCTAAGCAAGCCCTCTACCACTAAACTACATTCCAGTTCTATTCATTCATTTATTTTTTGGTTAGACACAATACCTTTATTTTGTTTATTTATTTCTATGTGGTGTTGAGGATCGAACCCAGGGCCTTGCGCATGCTAGGCAAGCGCTCTACTGGTGAGCCACAATCCAGCCCTCTTTTTATTTTTTATTTTGATATAGTCTCACTAATTTCTCAGACTGGTCTCAAACTTGTGATCCTCTTATCTCTTTGAATGGATTTTTTGTGTGATTCCACTTGTATGTGTTTATATATTTATGGAAGTAGAGTATACATATGTGGTGTAATAAGCATTTTAAGGTCATAAGATCACATTCTTTATCAAGAATTTATCTAATACTGATTTTAATAATGTCATTATTACAATCCTTTTTTGTTGGACATTTAGCTTTTGGGGGTTTTGTTTGTTAAAAATAATACAGTAATTAGTATCCATGTTTAGGATAGCCAGGTTTAAGATTTTATTGCTGGTAAATCTCTGAAAAAAAAGTGAAATTTCTATGGCAGTGAATGTCTTTAAACATTTATAGATGTTTTTAGAATCATATCAACTTACACATGCTAGTTGTGCCAATTTTTCTATTCTTTTAAAACTGGATGTTTAAAAAAAATTTTAAACAGTCTTAAACTGGTAGGTAGAAATTGGAATTATTTTAAATTTGTACTTCTTCAGTGATAGATTTATTGACCATTTGTCATAAATCATCTTCTGTAAGGTACCTATTTTGGGGGGAGGAGGTGTACCGGGGATTGAACTCAGGGGGCACTCAACCACTGAGCCCCATTCCCATCCCTATTTTGTATTTTATTTAGAGACAAGGTCTCACTGAGTTGCTTAGCACCTCACTTTTGCTGAGGTTGGCTTTGAAGTTATGATCCTCCTGCCTCAGCTTCCTGAGCTGCTGGGATTACAGGTGTGCGCCACTGTGCCTGGTTGTAAGGTGCCTTTTTGAATCTTTTCTTTTACTGGAGTAATTTGCAGGAGTTTTATTTTTCCCAGGTTTTAATTTTGTGATTTGTGTTTTAATTTTGTTCAAGGTCTCATCCCACCCTTAAATAAATTAAAAAAAAATGATTAAAACAGATAGTTAAATATCTCAGTCTTTTCCTTTTGTTTTCTGTCTTTGGGATTTTACTAAAAATGTCTTTATCCGTAAGATTATAAAATTAAACCTGGGGACTGTGGCACATGCCTTTAATTCCAGCTGCTCTCTGGAGGCTAAGGAAGGAGGATCGAGAGTTTAAAGCTAGCCTCTGCAATTTAGCAAGGCCCTAATTTAAAGTCAGTGAGACTTTAAATAAAATATCAAAAAAGGGCTAGGGATGTGACTCCATGATTAAGTGCCACTGGGTTCAATTCCTGCTACCAAGGGGAGCGGGGGAAAGCTAAAATAATAAAATAAAAATAAAACTGTATTTAACATATGTATGTGCTTAAAAATTGTTACTATGTGTGAAATTTATTTGATATGAGATTTGTCCTCAAGAAAGTTGCTCCTCAAATGGCTCAGTTGTACCATTACTGAAAAATATATACTTTTTAAAGGTGACATTTTAAATGTTGCCTGTAATGTAGTAACGTTAACATGCTAATGTTTGGGTCTCTTTTTGGTTTCTGTTGTTTGTAATCAGTGCCAGGCTATTGTAATTACTATTTTAGTGTATAAAGGAGATATTGTCTTCATATAGCTAGATAAGGTTTAAAATGAAATATAATGCAAAGTTATTAGTTTAGTTGTATTTCTATCTTCTTGCTTGGTTTTGTTCTCATCTTAAATTTAAAGCAACACATTTTCATTTCAAAGGAACAAGAAAAAGTTGTTAAAGCTACATATGCATGAATAATGTTTATCTGTTAGACTTTCTGCTTTCTTGATTAGTGTCATTATTGTGTGTTTTACCCTTGATCAGAATTAGCTCCAGAAGCCAGCCAATTATCAGGTTATAATTTGGTTTTCTTGTTGGTAAAAATATATTATTAAAAATATTGCGTTTTTTTCTTCAATTTTCTTTTACTGTTAGGGAAGAATGAATAAAGGAAGGAAGATATTTTTGTTACAATTGCTGTATAAAGGGAGAAATAAGGAAGAGTTCTTAGAGGGAAAAGTGGCAAGCTTAAAAAAAAAAAGAAAGAAAAAAATAAGTACATAAACTGGAAAAGGTTGAAATCTTTTTGTGTGCTTTACAAAAAGATAGGTGGAAAATGAGGAAAAATTTTTGGATCATATGGAGGAATTTGAAAAAAGAAAGGAAGAATGAAACAGAAAATGAAAAGGATAATATACTTAAAAGGATGAAAGAAGCAGGAGATGGTGGTGCATACCTGCAATCTCATCTCTTTGGGAAGCTGAGGCAGGAGGATTTCGAGTTTAAGGCCAACCTGTGCAGCTTAGAAAGACCCTGTTTCATCTCAAAATATTATGTGAAAGGACTGGGGATATAGCTCAGAGTTACAAACGCACCTGGGTTCAATTTCCACGATCCCTAGTAGCATAAAAAAATTTACTTAATAAATGGTGGAAGAATATATTTCGGAGCCAAAGGACACAAAATTTCAGATTAAATGGGCTCACTGGACATCTGACCATAAAATTTTAAGAAGATCCCCATTTGGATACTTTCTTCTGGTATTTCAGAACATAAAGAATATATTTGAATACTGTTTTGGGGAGTGGAGGCAGTACTGGGGATTGAACCTGGGAATACTCTATTCCTGATCTACATACCTAGTCCTTTTTATTTTGAGGCAGGATTTTACCAGATTGCCAAGGCTGTCTTTGACTTGAAAATCCTCTTGCCTCAGCCTCCCCAGTAGCTGGGATTATAGGTGTGCCACTGCACCTGGCTTAATCTTTAAAGAGAAGCCATTTTGCGTTAGAAAGATTTAAAAATTCAGTTTGAGGGCTGGAGATGTGGCTCAAGCGGTAGCGCGCTCGCCTGGCATGCGTGCGGCCCGGGTTCGATCCTCAGCACCACATACAAACAAAAGATGTTGTGTCTGCCGAGAACTAAAAAAGAAATAAATATTAAAATCTCTCTCTCTCTCTAAAAAAATTTAAAAAAAAAATTCTGTTTGATGTTAAAGAGAAGATCAGTAAAGCTGGATTTTTAGTTGTTTTTTATTTCTGAAATCACAGGAGTGGTAGGGACCATGCATGATATATCAACCTAGCTAGCCAACTGAATTATCAAGTGTGTGCATAAAATAATGATATTAATACATTCAGTAGGGTGGAAAGATGGACCTCTTACAAACTCTAGGTGAATTCCTTGAGGTTGTGTTCTAGAAAATTAAAAGGAATTCAAGAAGCAGGAGATGTCCTCTAATACAAGAAAATTTAGCCTAAGGGTAGAGGGTGGAGTAAAATTTTAGGATGTCATCTACATTATAGTACTATAAAGTAGCATATTATTAAAATAAAAACTCAGATGCAGATAAGAATGTCTTCAAAAAGATATTCAATTTATTTTAAGAACATGATTTAAGAACTGGGATGATCTCCATGATTATAAGAAAAATAAGAAGAGCCTGGTGCGGTTATCCCAGTGACTCAGTAGGCTGAGGCAGGAGGATTATGAGTTCAAAGCCAGCCTCAGCAACTTAGGGAGGCCCTAAGCAACTTGGCAAGACCCTGTTTCTAAATAAAATACAATAAAGGGCTGGGGATGTGACTCATTGGTTAAGCAATCCCCCAGGTTCAATCCCCAGTATTAAAAACAAAACAAACAAAAAATAAGGGCTGGGGATACAACTGAGTTGGTAGAGTTCTTGTCTAGCGTGGCACAAGACCCTGGGTTCAATCCCCAGTACCAAAAAAAAAAAAAAAAAAGGCCAAAATTTGTTCAGGAACATTATACTATAATTATGAATAAATAAAAAGTTTTGGTAAAATTTTGACTAGCAAGTAAAAATAAAGCTGAATAAATAAAAAGTTTTGGTAAAACTTTGACCAGTAAGTAAAAATAAAGATGAATAAATTCACTTTATTAATTAGTGACATAGAATTACCTTTCTTCCTCTAAAGGACCATTCACCCTAATTGGTTCTACAAGCATTAATCACATAAGCATATAAAAAATGCTAATGACTTAAATGTAATTATAGAAATCAGTCATACAAACCTTGACAATGTGTAAATAACAGTAGCTAATAGAAGTGGAGAGGTGCAGCAAGTTTATAATGCCGATTTCCTTCTCTCATTATATGGAGTTCTTAGCTACTGCTAAGTTATGAAATTGAAGTTCATTTTATTTAGGATAATTGAGGTAACCACTAAAACTAAACAGAAATTGTTAAAAATAGTCACTTGGGGACTGTGGCACTGATTATAGTGGAAGACTTTCTTTTTTCTTATAATTTTATATTTTACATGGTTATTATTCATTATGTAGTTAAAATATAAATTAAAAGTTTTCTCAGTTCATGAAATTTTAGACATTTAATAACCATATTTTAAAAAAAATTTTTAGATGTTGTTGGACCTGTCTTTCTCCTCCCTCCCTCTCTCTCTCTCTCTCTCTCTCTCTCTCTTTCAGAATTGAACCCAATACCTCACATATACTAGGCAAGAGCTCTACCACTGAGCCACAACCCCAGCCCAACCATACATTTTTTTTTTTTTTTAGGTGTAATGGTACACACTTTAAAAAAATTTTTTTTTTTAGTTGTAGGTGGACACAGTATCTTTATTTATTTTTACGTGGTGCTGGGGATCGAACCCAGGGCCTCACCCATGCTAGGTGAGCGCTCTACCACTGAGACACAACCCCAGCCCCAGTGGTGCACACTTATAAGGAAGGCTTAGGAAGGAAGAGTATGTTCAAGGCCAACCTCGGTAACTTAGTAAATCCTCAAAAATTAAAACTATCTCAAAAATTAAAATAAAGCCAGGAACAGTGGCATGAGCCTGTAAGCTCAGGAGCTTAGGAAGCTGAAGCAGGAGGTTTGTGAATTCAAAGCCAGCCTTAGCAACTTAGCAAAGCCCTAAGCAACTTGGCAAGACCCTGTTTCTAAATAAAATATAGAAATGGGTTGGGGGCACTGGGATTGTGGCTCAGCGGTAGAATGCTTGCCTGGCATGGGCAGGTCCCGGGTTCCATCCTCAGCACCACATTAAAAAAAAAAAAAAAGGCATTGTGTTGTGTCCATCTACACCTAAAAAATAAAAATTAAAAAAAAAAAAATGGGTTGGGGATGTGGCTTAGTGTTAAGCACCTCTGGGTTCAACCCCAGGCACCAAAAATATAAATGAATGAATGAATAAATGAACAAACGAATAAAGAATGAAAGAAAGAAAGAATAGCTGGGTGTTATGGCCCATGCCTGTGCTCCCAGCAGGAGGGTGAGGTAGGAGAATTGTGAGTTCAAAGTCAGCCTCAGCAAAGGTGAGGTGTTAAGCAACTCAGTGAGACCCTGTCTCTAAATAAAATACAAAATAGGGCTGGCAGTGTGACTCTGGTTGAGTGCCCCGTACTCCCCCCACCCACCTGCAAAAAAAAAAAAAAAAGGACTGGGTACGTGGCTCAGAGTACTTGCCTAGCATGCTTGAGGTCATGGATTCAATCCCCGGTTCTGCAATAAATAAATTAATAAGTAAATAAGTTTTTTGGAATGGTAATAGACTTACCTATAATTAATGACCCATTAATTCTTTGGTGTGAACAGAGGAGTACTAACATTATTGGACAGTCCATGCAGAACTATAGCCTGTGCAGGCTATATCATTTTAGTTTTGCAGTCTTATATAATAAGGAAGCTTTCTTCTCTATTATACAAATGACCCTACTGAATTTGTAAGAGTTTAACTTGTTCTCAAAATCAGTATATATGTAAACAATAGGGATTCATAGTTAAGTTTTTCTGACTTCAAAGTCCATGTGTGTTTTCTAGTGTGTAAGGTGTGATTTCTGGAATTTTAATCACTTCTCCTTGTTGTATTCCCTTTTGAGCATCACTGTTACCACCTGTTTGTCCTTTGGTTTGTTGAAAAATACTGTTGGCTGTGTAAAGGCACTGTGCTTACCTGCTGTGACCAATACTAAGAGAAAGGATAAAACTTGGCATTTCAGCTTTCTTAGCCCACTCGAGTTTTGTTAAACATAGGACATATCCCTCCAAGTTAACTAAAAATGTAAGTAAAAGATCAGTAAAATTGATACCTGTAGCCATATTGATTGGAAAAACGAGAACATACAAATTACCAATATTAGGAGTAGACGTGACTTCACTATAGAAGTTAAAAAGAAGAACAAGGGACAACTCAAATGAAATAAACAAATTCTTTAAAGACTCAGAGGAATCCAATTCACTGAAGAAGAACTAGATAATGGTTTAGTTTTATTAAAGAATTTTAATTTGTAATGAAAATCCTCAGTGTCAACTCATCAGTGGCTTCACTGATGAATTCTGTAAAACATTAAGGAATACATAATGCCATTATATATATTCCATAGAAAGGTCTTGTTCTATGAGACCAGTATTACCCACAGACTCAGTAGAGAAAAAGATATTACAAGAAAACTGTAGACCAGTATCCCTTAGGAACATAGATACCAAAAAAGAAAAGAAAACAAAACAACAACAACAACAAAAAACTCCTAAGTAAAATTTTAGCATATCAAATCCAACAATATGCTTAAAGGATAATCATGCTAATAGATTTACCAGGAAACTAAGACATTTTTTAGATCTTTTTTTTTTAAGGATGATTGAGATAGCCACTAAAACACAAATAGTTAAAAAGTAGTCACTATGGAGCTGTGATACTGGGTATGGTAGAAGACTTATTTTTATTATACTTATTTTCTATATGTATTAAGATTTTTTGGTCCAAAGTTGCTTTAACATTTGAAAATCTGTCAATGTAGTTTTGTTTTCTTTTTTTAAAAAATATTTTTGTAGTTGTCAATGGATATTTATTTATTTATTTATTTATATGTGGTGCTGAGGATTGAACCCAGTGCCTCACACACTCCAGGCAAGTGCGCTACCGCTGAGCCACAGCCTCAGCCCTGTAGTTTTCTTTTCTTTTTTTTTTAAATATATATATTTATTTTTTAGTTGTAGTTGGACACAATACCTTTAGTTTAATTATTTATTTTTATGTGGTGCTGAGGATCGTACCCAGGACCTCGCCTATGCTAGGCAAGCGCTGTACCTCTGAGTCACAACCCCAGCCCCTGTAGTTTTCTTTTCCTTTTTTTTGTTCTGGGGATTGAACCCAGGAGCACTTAACCACTGGACCACATCCCCACCCCACCACCTGCTTTAAGTTTTTTATTTTGACACAGGGTCTGGCTAAGTTGCCTAGGGTGTCCTAAAACTTGTGATCCTCCTAACTCAGCCTCCTGAGTTGCTGGGATTACACTACTGCACTGGGTTAAATAATTTTTCATTGTCACAATAGACTATAAAATAAAGGCCATATAATTGTCTCAACAGATTTATGTATAAATATACATATATGTGTGTTTTAGTTGTAGTTGGACACAATATCTCCATTTTGTTTATTTATTTATTTGATGTATACATATATATACACACACAAACACACACACACATATATATATGTGTATATATATATTTAGTTGGGCACAATACCTTTGTTTTGTTTGTTTATTTTTTATGTGGTGCTGAGGATCAAACCCAGTGCCTGGCACGAGCTAGGCAAGTGCTCTACCACTGAGCTACAACAATAGATATTTTTGAAGAAATGACAAAATCCATTTCTTTTAAAAATTTTGAGTATTTCAGGAATAGAAAGCAGGTTTCTCAATCTGGTAAGCCCATCTATGAAAAACTTTATACAGTTGAAATATTAATAGTGAAAGGATTGAGTGGTTTCTCCCAGATATTGGGAATGGAGGAAGAATGTGTGGTTTCATCACTAAGAACTGTGTACAGTCACCTGTGTGTGTAGTTCCAGTAGCCAGTAACTAGAATGCTTTGGCAGGAGGGCTACTTGAGCCCACTAGATTGAGAAGACTAGCCTGAGTAACAAAGCAATGCTGTGTTTCAAAAAAACAAAAACAACACAATCCCCAAAACAACAGACTGAAGATCCCAGACAGTGTGGTAAGGATTAAAGAAAGACATCCAATGTGATAAGGAAAAATTAAAATTGGCTTTGTTTATAGATAGGAAGATCCTGATCAGTGTATAAAACAGCCAGTAAAATCATTAGTTTAGTTAAGATTGTGTAGCACACATAGTCAGTATACAACATATAAGCAACAAACAACTAGCAATTGAAATTTTTAAAAATACAACTTACAATAACCTCCAAAGAAATAAGATAGTTAAGGATAAATTTGACAAAAGATGCATATGATGCATATACTGAGAACTTTGTTTCATTCCTATCTATGTTCACTCTAGTGCCTAAAATAGATAGTAGGTATTCGATAAATATTTGATTAATAGATGAATAAATTAAGGTACATGGGGAGGTTTTTAGGGAGCATCTATTTGACTATTATTTTGAGTTACTGTCTTTGTGAGGGAATAAATTTTGTTTGGCATTGCTTCAATGATGAACTTCAGTTGCCTAAAGCACTTAAAATCTTAATTTTTTGTTAAGCTATATGTGAAACAGAGCCTGAGCAGCCTGTTCGACATTACCCATTGTGGGTGAAAGTAGAAGGTGAAGTAGATCCGGAGCCAGTTTATATCCCAACACCCTCAGTCATTGAGCCTATGAAACCATTATTGTTGCCTCAGCCAGAAGTATTATCTACTACTGTGAAAGGCAAACTGCTTACTGGAATTAAACCTTCACGGGCATATACTCCCAAGCCCAATCCTGTGGTAAGTGCGCCTGGAGTTTCTTTTCTTTCCTTTTTTTTTTTTTTTTTTTTTTTTTGCAAGTTACAAAAGTCATTTGTAGAAGTGATAGATTTCAGCCAGATTTTCGGTTTATATTCTGTGAGCAATTTTTAATGGGTTTGTAAGACATTGTCTTTTTTTGTTTAATCAGTTTTTTAGTTGCTGAAACTTTTTAAATGTCATAAAAATAGAAATGAATCAGTGATTCTTAAAGATAGCCATGTCTTTCTTCAAGAAGTTCATGGAAAGCTGGGCTTTTTACATGACTTGCAAAGTCTTTTAAAGGTACTGTTATTCCAGTAGTATAAACTCTTGTGTAATTGAGACACAAAATGCTAGAAAATGTAGAAAAATATTAAGAAAAGCCTTTTAAAAGCAAATTTTTAAATAGTAATAAAAGTTCCAGATTTAAAGTAACAGTTGATATATTGTGTATCTGTGAAGATGGATAGGGAAAAGTAAGACTTCCCAGTCCACTCATTTGAAAAAGAATCCTCTACAGTGCAACACAGCATACATGGTTTCTGTACCAGTGGTGGTCTAAAACTTTGTTACTGGTCTGTGATGAAATAAATATAAGAACAGATCTTTGAGCCATGCATGCCTTTAATCCCAATGACTCAGGAGACTGAGGCAGTAGAATTGCCATTTGAAGTCAGCCTCAGCAACTTAGTGAGACCCTCACTCAAAATAAAAAGGGCTGAGAATGTGGCTCATTGTTAAAATACCCTTGAATACAATCCCCAATTCCAAAGGGGGAAAACAAACAACTTCTACAGCAAGTTGATTAAGGTAAATCTATTGTATTGAAAAATTTGAGCTTGCAGTAATTTTACATGTCTTTTATTTATTTATTTATCTGTTTATTTATTTTAATTGTAGTTGGACACAATACTTTTATTTTCTCTATTTATTTTTATGTGATGCAGAGGATTGAACCCAGAACCGCACAAGTGGTAGGCGAGCGCTGTACCTCTGAGCCACAACCCCAGCCCATAATGTCTTTTATTTTTCTATTTTTTGGGGGGTAGGGTAGGGTGGACACTGAGGATTGAACACAGGGCACTCAACCATTGAGCCACATCCACAGCCCTATTTTGTATTTTATTTAGAGATGGGGTCTCTCTGAGTTGCTTAGTACCTCGCTATTGCTGAGGCTGGCTTTGAACTGGTCCTCCTGCCTCAGCCTCCTGAGCTGCTGGGATTATAGGCGTGCCCAGCTCTAGTAATTTGTTTTATTGTACTCTATCAGTCTGTGTTTGACTGGTGATTAACAAATGTGTATATTAGCACAGATGACTTGAAAGCACTGCTCTGGTGTAATCTGAATTTCCTGATACTGAATGAAATCTTTCTGATTGCCCCAAGATTTAGCACATACAAACTGTACTTATACTGTTTAATTTTAAAGCTTGCATTTAAAAATTTCAGCTGATGGAATGGAAACACAGATATTTGTCTTCATTTAGAGTATAGGAGACTTTTTTTCACTATTGTATCAGATGTTTTGATACATAAAACTTGCAGATAAGGGAAGAGGACAAAGATCCAGTCTATTTGTACTTTGAAAGTATGATGACTTGTGCCCGCGTTCGAGTATATGAACGAAAAAAAGAGGAACACAGACAGCCATCCTTGTCTCCATCCTTGTCTCCATCACTTCAGCAGCAGAACTCATGTCATTCTAGTCCTGGGAACCATAGTTCAAAGGTGATTACTTGTTACACAATTGTTTTTTAACTTTTAATTCCTTGTTGCTGGTATTAGAACTTGAATTACTATCAGAATGATTAGAATTTTCATGCTATAAGAATAATTAATGTACTCTAGACTTATATGACATGTAAATTAATTTATTTTTCTCCATACTTTGGTGTTCTATACCTTAGGGTTACTAAAAGTATTATTTTTCTGACATTGGAGTAATTAAAACACAACACAAATACTTCTGGGTTTAATTAAATTATTTATCTGTAATTAGTAAGATTTATGTCTTCCCACACTGATGAATTTTTTAAGTAACTGAAGCTTGTTCTGTTAAACCTAAAATATTTTCCTTCTTCACTAGAATAACTGTAGAGTACAATGCACATAACAACGATGATGGCGATGATGTTTTTTTTGTTTTTGGTGGTGGTGGTGCTGGCGATTAAATCCAGGGCCTCAAAGGAGCTATACCACTGAGCAATATTCCCAGGCCCTGATAATTGTTTTCTTGATGACTTAGTCATTATTAAAAACATTAGAACAAGACTACTTGTTTTTTTTTTCCCCCAGGATTCTAGTAATGTAGTTGTGTGTTCAGATGGGAAGCTGTTTTAGTCAGCTTTTTCACTAAAGGATCTGACCAGAAAAATTATAAAGAAGGAAAAGTTTATATGAGGGCTCATGGTTTCAGAGGTCTTAGTTCATAGAAGGCTGCCTCCATTTCTCAGAGCTTGAGATGAGGTTGAACTCATGGTGGATGTGTGGCAGAGGGAAGCAGCTCACATCATGGTCAAGAAGCAGAGAGAACTCCACTTGCCAGATATAAATATATACCTCAAAGCTATGCCCTAAACCCCACCTCCTCCAGGCACACCCTACCACTTCAGTTACCACTCAGTTAATCCCTCTCAGGGGATTAATTCACTGAGAGGGTTAAGATTCTCACAACCCAGTCATTTCTCCCCTGAACCATCTTGCATTGTGTCACATATGAGCTTTTTGGGGACACCTCACATGCAAACCATAACAGAAGCTGTTGATTATTTATTCTACTAATTTAACTTCTGTAAGAGATTTAATGTTTATGTCTTACTCTTACTCTTTATAGATACTAGTATTTCTGTGTCATTTCCTTCCTTAGGAACCTGATTCTGAACAGCAACCCTTAAAACAACTCATTTGTGACTTGGAGGATGATTCTGATAAATCACAAGGTCAGAATCTTAATAGTAGTTAATAGTAGTTACTGGTAATTATATATGTCTGGATTATATAATGTCAGAAAACCAAAACTAGCAATTCAGAGTATGTCACTTACCCTTTTTCTGGTTTCTGCCAAAAATAGAGATTAATAAGTAAGCATCTTATTTTTTGTTTGTTATTTGGTTTGTTTAATAATTCTCAAAAATAAATTTATTCATATTGATGTGGTATGTTATGAGAGACTTTTAGAGATGAGGTCAGTGAAAATTTTTTTTTAGCTCTCTTTACCAAACCTTAGCAATATTGGCATTATTAGCTATTTAAAATTTGCCTCAGGTCTTTCTTACCTGCCACTATCAGGGAAATGCAGAGGAAGAGAAAGAATATCACTGATTTGTCTAATAGAGAATACTTCCTGAATTACTGTAATGAGAGGTAATAGTAATAACCTGGAAGTTACCTCTGGGCTTTTTTTTTTTTGGCTATGCTTTGTAAGTCTTATTCATGCAGTAGTACTTCCTGTCTTTAAAAAATGTCATGGTATGCAGAAAATATGTTTCCATAGCACAGAGAGATTTTGAAAAAGTTGCTTGGGTGGAAGAAACCTGGCTGAGAGCATGAGCACCCTGGGGGCCATGGGAATCAGTATCCTGGACATAACTATAATTATAGCATATTGGTTGGGAAAGTCTGTTGTAGAGATCTCAGTATCTAATGAAATACATATTTTTCAACATGTCACCATGGATAGAAATATATTGGGGAGTTGAATGAAATCTTTCTGATTGCCCCAAGATTTAGCACGTCAGAGCATGTTTCAGAGCAAACTTGCAAGTATTTTTGCTTTGCCCAATGAATAACAGAATAGTAACCTAAGCCAAATAATCAACCTTGGTTATAGATCATGCTTTGTTTGCAAGCTAGCACTTCTTAGATAATAGTTAAGGCCTCTTAGAGTAATGTTAAAGGAACTTCCTTTTTATCAGAGGATAGTGAAGACAATTTTGTGAGATCTTTCTTCTTTCTGGAAAACTCCCAAATTATGAATGTTAAACTTACATATTAGGTTACCCCTGGAAAGTATATGGGAATAGAACATTGAGACATTGTTGAATATCTTTTAAAAGTCCAGTAGTATAGAATTGCTGTGATTCAGAAAAATTTTTCAATTTTTTATCAGAAAAGAGCTGGAAATCTTCCTGCAATGAAGGGGAATCCTCTTCTACCTCTTACGTGCATCAGAGGTCACCTGGTGGTCCCACCAAACTGATAGAGATCATCTCAGACTGCAACTGGGAGGAAGATAGAAACAAGATTTTGAGCATCTTATCCCAGCACATCAATAGCAACATGCCACAATCACTTAAGGTGGGCAGCTTCATCATTGAGTTGGCTTCTCAACGAAAGAGCCGGGGTGAGAAGAACCCTCCTGTTTATTCTTCTCGTGTCAAAATCTCTATGCCGTCATGTCAAGATCAAGATGATATGGCTGATAAATCTGGATCAGAGACTCCTGGTGGTCCATTGTCCCCTGGGAAAATGGATGATATCTCTCCTGTGCAGACAGATGCTCTGGATTCAGTGAGGGAGAGATTACATGGAGGCAAAGGTCTGCCTTTTTATGCAGGGCTTTCTCCTGCAGGGAAGCTTGTGGCCTATAAGCGTAAACCCAGTTCAAGCACATCTGGGCTTATCCAGGTGAGAATTATCTTTAATCTGGACATAGCACCTTTTTGTATTTAGGTGACATTTTAATTTTTTTCAGAGCCCTTATTGGGCCTTAAGTCCTTTATCTTCACATTTCCTGGTAACTGGGTAACAAAATCATTATTCCTTTTTCTAATAGGTCAGTTAGATGCATACCTACAGTGAATTTTTGGAACATTTATACACAGAAACAGAGCCTTGTATTATTAGATTTTTCTTTCTATTCTTTTCAGAAAGTTATTCTTAAACTTTATTGCGTAGACTCTAGTGATATTTTGAGAACCAAAGATAGGAATTTAGTTTTTAAAATGTATTATTAGCATACAGCTTTCAATAAGAATCTCTTGTATAGAATGTTAAGGCTAGTAAAGGGAAGATGATGAACTTGACTTTCAGACAGGCAGTTGGCAGTATATATTTAGAAACTTGGAGATATTTTATCTTATTTTTGTGGTGCTAGGGATTGAATTTGGTGCTCTATTAGTGAGTCATGTCCCTACTCCTGGGGAAAATTTTAATTTATGAGAAATTCAAATACATAGAATTTAAAAAAAATGAGTCATATATTTTTCTTTGATTTGTGAGGTTTTATCAGTGTAGTCACTTTAGGACAAATATATGTATCCTTGCTGTTCAGTAATTCATGCAGTATATATTTGTAAAATTATACCAACATCTAGGAAATCCTTGGAAAGAGAAGTTCCAAATGAAAATGTTAGTCATTGTCAAGGTTTTCTTCTTGTTCATTGGTATAAAATATATTTTTATAAGGGTAGAAAATGTATGCAAGTGTCCCATGTTATTGCTAAGGTTACTCAACTTTGGACTAAGGACTGCTCCATTAATATATAACTGGTCTACTTTAAAAAAAAATTTATTGTAGTTTACTCTTGCTGGTGCTATGTCATTGCTTCTGTTGGTATTTCTTAAACTCTTAATGATGGAGAGAAAGATATTTCTTTCTTCATTTATTGATTGATACTTTGGAAATAGTGACTTAACTGAGATTTCTAATAAGACTCCCTGAAATAAAGGCATAGAGATTTTGTGTTCTCTCCTGATCAGGACTTCCAAAGCCACCATGGAGTGTCATTTGCATAAGCAGTCAAGCAGTTTATAATATATGTTGAGCATCCTTAACCCAAAAAATATAAAATTCAAAATGATCCAAGAGCCAAAACTTTTTGAGCATTGACATGACCCCATAAATAGAAAATTCCAAACCTGACCTCATGTTGTTAAGAGGGCAAACATACTAAAAATATTGTATAAAATTAATTACCTTCAGACTGTGAACACAGTTTAAGGTGTATATGAAGCATAAGTCAATTTTTTATTTAGATTTGGGTTTCATCCCCAAGATCTCTCATTACATATATATGCAAATATTTTAAAGTCTAAATTTCAAAAACATTCCTAGTCACAAGCATTTTGGATAAGGAATATTTAATCTATGTAGACTTTGGGGAAGCTTCTGAGTAGTCTTAAGCAGTCCCAACAGAACAGGCAGGACTGTCTGACCTAGATGCCACATAGCCTGAAAATCTGTACTAAAGTTTACTTTGGGATGGAGAGATCAATTTTTTTTTTTTTTTTGTACTAAACTTGGATATTCCTGATCTCTCTGGGAATAATCACAATATACTTAAGTAGCAAAGAGTAGTTTTATTTTGCATCTTGGAAGATAGAATAGTTTGCTCTAGCTATCCTCCTTACTAACTTCCTATTAAGAGAGTAGATTCTACCTCAGTCCACCCTCTGTCCACCACTTTTTTCTTTTTTTGGTACCAAGGGCACTTAGCCATATCCCTGCCCTTTTTATTTTGAGACAGGTTCTCACTAGTTAGTCAGGGCCTCACTTAGTTGGTGAGGCTGGCTTTGAACTTGGAATCCTCCTGCCTCAGCCTCCTGAGCCACTGTGATTACAGTGTATGCCACTGTGTCCTGTCCCCCACTTGATAAAAAGAAGTCATAGAAAAGGTTATTTCCTCTAGAGTCACCAGTAATATGACCTAGAGAACATGGGTAAGAAAAATGGGAGGTTTTTGTTTTCTTTCCTTTAAAATAAAAAAGGGCCAGACATGGTGGCATATGCCTGTAATTCCAGCAGCTAGGGAGGCTGAGGCAGAAGGATCGCAAGTTCAAAGCCAGCCTCAGCAACTTAGCGAGTTCCTAAGCAACTTAGCAAGACTCTTGTCTCAAAATAAAAATAAAAAGTTCTATGCATGTAACTCAGTGGTAAAGTGCCTCTGAGTTAATTCCCCAGTTCCAAAAAGAAAAGAAATAAAAATTTTAAAAAAGGAAAGAAGCAACAACAACAAAACTCTCTCTCTGTCCAAGATGGGCAGTGTAATCAACTCAGCAGAGAAAATCTGTGCCATATTTGGTTTGTTGGTTTACCATGTCTGATAGTTTTCTGACTGTGTCTAGTTACATTGAGTTTTTACCAGCATTTGTTTTGAGCCCATATTTTGTCCAAAATATGAAGACAACATCTTCAAATTTGAGCCTTTTGATAACCAAAAACTGAAGTGACTTTGTAGCTTAGGTTATTGTAACAGTGGTTGTCATAAGAACTTAAAGTAGATTTATCATATATATATTTCAAATATAAAGGATGCTGGAAAAGACCCTCATTTCAGGGCCTCATTATTCTTCTCTGGTCAGAGAGAGGATTCTGTGGAAGACAGAATTTTTGCTGATGATTGTTAACCATTTTTGCTGATGATTGTTAATAGCTTAATTAATTTTTTAAATTAAAATAAAACAATTGCATGATTCTTCGGACACATTCATGTGACTTTCCAATATCTAGGATGCAGAAGTGATGAGTTTCTAAGATTCTCTGTTTCTGTACTACAAAATGAAGAAAATGGAATTAGTTCTGAATACCAGATGATGGCATTTTTCTGCTTCCCTGTTACTCAGATTGTCCTGAATAGGAAAAGCCCACTTCTTTTTTTCCCCTTCACATCTGAAAAGTAGACTTTTAAAACCTTGTAAAAATGAAACCCCTGTCAAGGGAGAAGAGTTAGCAAGAGAATTTTATCTTTACAGAATTTCTCTTTGCCACTTGTTTCAGGTTAATGGTAAGAGTTACCCGCAGGCTAAGTTGCTATTGGGACAGATGGGGGCATTGCATCCAGCCAATAGGCTAGCTGCTTATATCACAGGCAGGTTGCGACCCTCAGTCCTGGACCTCTCAACCCTCAGTACTGTCATCTCCAAGGTAGCATCCAATGCCAAGGTGGCTGCATCCAGGAAACCACGTACCCTGTTGCCTTCTACATCCAACTCCAAAACGACATCCTCCTCTGGCACTACCACAAATCGTCCTGGGAAGAATCCGAAGGCATTTGTCCCAGCAAAAAGGCCAATTGGTAAGTTGGAGAGTACATATAGCTTGGAAAGGATTATAATTTAGTGCTGGATCAGTTATTACAGGTGTGAAGACTGTTAAAATTAGAAAAGTACAGGATTTGGCATAATTATTATTGATGTCTGTGTTACCTGAATCTGTTTTTTTTTTTTTTTTAAACTCTTTTGATGGGTTATGATTCTAGATGAATTAGAGTCTATTTACTAGTTACTGTTAGAATTATTTTTGAGTCTTCTACATATTAATATAGAAAAGACGTGATTTAATTTTTTAAAAAATATTTTCTCTAGTAATTTTCCTGTAAGGACGAGGAGTTTTGGCATCAATCAAAAAATGCATGTTCCTTGATCTTAAGATTTCAAGAAGCTAGAAAAGCTAGAGAGTTGGGTTAGTATAGGCTCAGAGTAGAAAGTTTTTTTTTTTTATAAAACATGGTTTTCAAAATGTTACATTGTTCCATACATCCCTGTTTTGTGAACCTTTATTTTGCTCAACATTTCATTTCTAGAGTATGTAATAAATTGCCTTCTAGAAGCACTTGTTTTAGCATTTAGAGAATCAACAGTTGCTTTATTGAATTCCTCTTTCTGTTGTTTCAAATCTATTTAGGAATGTTAAGTAAAAGTGTCAATTGTGTCTTCATTCTTATTCCTCTAACAGGAAATTGAAATATCTGGCTGAAGGCTGGAGTTGTGTGAAGATAGAGGATAGGCATTGTATGCCTTAAAAAGAACCTATTTTGCCTCCTTTAAAAAAACAACTTTAATTGTGATTTTAAAACAACAACAACAACAACAACAAAAATGCAGCCCTGTCCTGCACTCTTTTGAAAAAATATCTATGCATTTTAAGAATATGCAATACTTAACTGTCTTATGTCATAAGAGACAGCCTTAAAGAGGTGGAGGTGCTGGTATAGGAGGAAGTGGTGGAAATAAGTTTTAAAATTAGGATTAGGCAAAAAATCCTCTTCTTTTTACTTTCTGTTTTAGGTGGTGAAGTTTTACCGCTGTATTGTCTTTTTAGTGTCCTGACGAATTGAATATTTTGCATAGCCAGAGAATTTTAATAGGAACACTCAGTTTTAAACCCTTTCTTGTTGGAATTATATGCCATTGTTTTGGATTGAGGGAAGTGTTTTGATTTCTGTGGGTGGAAATTGGCACATATAATACAGGTAGGTAGTACCTGTAAGAAATTGACCCAGTGGTGCACAATTAATGTTGATAAGCACAGTCACTAGGAGGGTAAAATAAGAGAACTGAAGATTTTTGACCTGCAAATTTTTATTTGCAGCGGCTCGACCCTCTCCTGGTGGTGTGTTCACACAGTTTGTGATGAGTAAAGTTGGAGCCTTGCAGCAGAAGATACCTGGAGTTAGCACACCCCAACCCCTGACAGGGCCACAGAAGTTCAGTATCAGACCTTCTCCAGTAATGGTCGTCACACCTGTGGTTTCTTCTGAGCCAGTTCAGGTGTGCAGTCCCGTGACTGCTGCTGTCACTACTTCCACCCCTCAAGTGTTTTTAGAGAATGTTACTGCTGTGACATCTATGACTGCTATTTCTGACGTGGGAACTAAAGAAACTACTTATTCTTCTGGTGCCACCACTGCAGGGGTTATTGAGGTCTCTGAAACTAATACCAGCACCCCTGTAACATCTACCCAGTCTACAGCCACTGTGAACCTTACCAAAACTACTGGGATAACTACCCCTGTGGCTTCAGTTACTTTTCCTAAGTCTTTGGTAGCATCTCCTCCAACCATAACTCTTCCTGTTGCTTCCACTGCCTCCACCTCCATAGTCATGGTGACCACAGCTGCATCTTCCTCCATGGTGACCACACCTACTTCATCTCTGGGCTCTGTTCCTATTATACTCTCAGGAATTAATGGGAGTCCACCAGTGAGCCAGAGACCAGGTAAGGCCTAATTATTACTAGTTGCTTAACTGTATAGTTGTTTATGTAATTTTGCAGCTGGGGGTAGGATCTTACTGTCTGTCTGTCATCTGTCTTAGGATAATCATGTAGGTGTTTTCTGCTATGAAATTTGAGTGTATTTCTGAAAATATTTGCATTCTGCAAAACTGAATATTTTAAAATAATAGAGCTCATGGTTAATGCAGTTAGATCACTGAAAATATATAATTTTGTAAGTAAAACACTGCAGAAACAACTTATTCCTTGGGAGATGATCAGTAGAACTTAGTGGGCCTGCAGGTTGCCTCAGGAGATAACAAAAAAACTATTGAAAAACATTAGAATAGAAATGCTGGCTGAAGGACACCGAAATAATTAGATGAGAGTGGAGCTCTGAGCCACTAGAGCAGTCATTAAGGTGAGCATGGGAGAAAGTACAACCTATTATGTGACATGCTGAGATCTAGGAGTACATATCCTTAAGAAGGGAACCATATGTACAGATGCTCTTTTTGGGGGTGTGTGTGTGCTGCATTTTAATTTAAAAAACCGAAATGAAAGGGCTTCTGCCAATGCTTTATCCAAGCTGAGGGCTTTTTTTTTTTTTTTTTTTTTTTGAAGATTAAAATATACTTCTGCTGGGTGTGGTGACACATGCCTATAAATTCCAGCAACTTAAGAGGCTGAGATAGAAGGATTGAAAGTTTTGAGACCAGCCTCTGCAATTTAACAGGGCCCTAAGCAACTTAGCAAGACCCTGTCTCAAAATAAAAAATAAAAAGGGATGAAGATTTGGCTTAGGCACACTTGAATATACTCCTGCTATTCTAGCTCTTCTTGCCTAGCAAAAATCATTTTTATTTATTTTATGTGGCTCTGAGGATCGAACTCGGTGCTTCATGTGTGCCAGGCAAGCCCTCAACCACTGAGCTACAACCCCAGCCCTCATATTTTAAATTCTCAACTTCTTAGTTAAAATTTTCCTCTTGTTGGCGTAGGTTAAACAAATTCATAATAGGAATATTATGTGCTTTGGTATATTTTATATCCAAATGCAACTACATAAAGTAGGTGATTCTTTTAGTCTATTCAGAGAAGAATTAATGTATATAAAACTGAGAAACTTTGCAGAATTCAAGGGAAATAACTACCCAGTATCATTATATTGCTCTGAATCCCATTTGTACTATTTTTTTATATTTATTTATTTATTTTAGTTTAGTTTTAGGTTGACACAATGTCTTTATTTTATATTTATGTGGTGCTGAGGATTGAACCCAGTGCCTCATGCAAACTAGGCGAACACTCTACCACAGAGCCACAACCCCAGCCCCCCATTTGTACTATTTTAAAAATTATTGTTTTAATTAACTACTTTTTAATATAAATGTTTTTAAGAGACTGAGTGGAAGCCAATGTTACTTGGCAAAAGACAGGTTGACCTCATAAACAAGTAGTAAATAAAATATATTAATAAATTCAAATATTTACTGTAAGTTCTGTGCTTGTGGCATCTCTTTCTGTTGATGAAGAGAGCTAGAAAATACTGAAGTCATTTTTTAAAGATAAAATATCTAAGATTGTGGGGCTGTGGCTCAGTGGTAGCGCACTGGCATGTGTGAAGCACTGGGTTCAGTTCTCAGCACCACGTATAAATAAATAAAGGTCTGTCAACAACTTAAAAAAATCCAAGACTGGTACTTTCTTATGTATATAATCAAAAGATTAAAATTGAAATGGGAATGGCTTTTCTATCAGTGTGATACAGTGTTACTTTATATTCATATATCACTTAAAATATTTTGTTGAATGCCACTTAAAGAAATAGTGATTGTATTTTATTTTTTGGTACTGGGAATTGAACTTAGGAGCACTTAACCACTGAGCTACTTCCCCAGCCCAAAATAGTGATGTTAATAAATTTTCTTATCTCTTCTATAAATACAGAGAACTCAGGTAACTGCTAGTTCTAAGGAAGTGGACATTTTATTCTCAATTCATAAAGAGCATATCAAGTTGGATATTTTGATTGTCTGTTTTTTTCGTTTGACTTATGTTTTTCTCTTTCCCTGATCCTCACCAACATTTAAGTAACTTATCACATTTTCAGTGGGTATAAGAAAGATTGCTTTCATTCTTTGAATTGAGGTAATTTAGGTTTTGAATCACTCTAAAAATAAATTTGAAAAGTTTGAGAAATTGTGTTAACATTTTCTTAATTCATGTAGGATAGGTGAATGTTTTTTGTTTAAATTGCACAGTATTATTTTCATGAACAAACTGGTCTTTGTTTTATTTCATTTTTAGAATAGTCCTAGATTTTTTATGTTACAGTTTATCATCTAAATGTTATGAGCATGGGGCCAGGTGTGGTGTTGCACACCTATAATCCCAGTGGCTCAGGAGACTGAATCAGGAAGATCACAAGGTCAAAGCCGGCCCCAACAACTTAGGAAGGCCCTAAGCAACTCAGAGAGACACTGTCTCTAAATAAAATATTAAAAAGGGAAAGGCTGGGGATGTGGCTCAGTGGTTGAATGTCCCTGGGTTTACTCCTTAGTACAAAAAAGTTATTAATATGATTTTCTCTTAGAATTTTAATGTTTTGTGTGGACACAACGCATATCTGATAGAAAATCACATTAAGCCAGAAATTTTTGGGTTTAATTTTTTTCCTTTATTGGCAGACTATTAAATTTTTTACAAATTTATAAAATAAAGTCAAATAAGTTCACCAATTTGAATTATAATCATTTGTGTTAAAACTGTCTTTTCCCTCCTCTTGTCAGGCTTTATCTTTTTTTTTTTTAATTTTTTTTTTTAGTTTAGATGGACACAATACCTTTCATTTTATTTATTTTTATGTGGTGCTGAGGATTGTACCCAGGGTCTCAAAAGTGTTAGGCGAGCACTCTACCACTGAGTTTTGACACCAGCCTTTACCTATCTCTTTGATTTAATATGAATCCAAATTTAGAGGAATACCCTGGTTGTCATTAGGCAAAAGCAATATCTCTATAAAAGCACCTCTTGACAGTTAATGCTTTTTTTTTTTTTAATCATTCTGGGTTCTCTTGCGGGGAGGTGATAGGGATTGAACTCAGGGCCTTGTGCACGTAAGGCAAGCACTCTACCAACAGAGCTATGTCTCCAGCCTTTTAATCATTCTGAATGCAAAACTCTACAATGTCTGGTTAGTTACTCGAGTTTAAAACAAATTCCTCTCAGCCATAAAGAGTGTATTATAGAGGGACAAGATTTTTCCAATTTTATAATTCAAATTAGAAGTTGCTTGTAGCATTGTCAGATCTTGTATTTGTTGTCATAGCTTTTTTCCTTCATGTGTTGAGGGAGAATTCTGATATTATGTTTCTGTTTTGTTTTTTAGAAAGTGCCCCTCAAATTCCAGTGGCTACTCCACAGATCTCTCCTAACACAGTGAAACGTACTGGACCACGATTGTTGTTGATTCCAGTACAGCAGGGTTCTCCTACGCTTAGACCTGTCCCAAACCCACAACTTCAGGGACATCGGATGGTCTTGCAGCCTGTAAGGAGTCCAAGTGGAATGAACCTGTTCAGGCATCCCAATGGGCAGATTGTCCAGCTCCTGCCTTTGCATCAGATTCGAAGCTCTAATACCCAGCCCAGTTTACAGCCTGTCATGTTTCGGAACCCAGGTATAAAGTTAGAGATCTTTCTAATGAATTTTTCTTTAAGTAAATCAGTTGGCTATATGATTTATTACTATACCAGGATTATTCTTAGTCTCTTAGAGTCACATGTCCAAAAAAGAAAAACACCAGTGAATTATTGAGATGGGCAGTCATGATTTAAATTTTCTTTTTCTTTCTTTCAGGGTCTGTGATGGGAATCCGGTTACCTGCTCCTTCCAAACCTTCTGAGACTCCACCATCTTCCAGTTCATCCTCTGCTTTCTCTGTTATGAATCCTGTAATTCAGGCTGTTGGGTCTTCTCCAGCAGTGAATGTTATCACTCAAGCACCATCATTGCTTTCCTCTGGACCTAGTTTTGTCTCTCAGGCTGGCACATTGACCCTGAGAATTTCTCCTCCCGAACCACAAAGTTTTGCAAGTAAATCAGGCTCTGAAACCAAAATTACCTATAGCTCAGGAGGGCAGCCTGTTGGTACAGCCAGTCTTATTCCTCTCCAGTCTGGTAGTTTTGCCTTGTTACAGCTCCCAGGACAAAAGCCTGTTCCTAGCTCCATTCTTCAGCATGTTGCTTCCCTTCAAATGAAGAAGGAATTCCAGAATATAGATCAAAAAGATGAAATGAACTCTATAAAAAAAGAGAAGGAAACTAGGAAAACTCTACAGTCAGAAGGAGAAGCTACAGACCCAGAGGCTAATAAACAAAATTCAGGAACTATTGCCTCAGAAGAAACTCTGAATATTTCCTTAGAAGATGGGGGTGATCGTTTGGATGAAGATTCTCTTACAGAAGAAGGTCCCACAACTGTCAAACCTTCTAAACTCTCCTATATGGCTGGGTCACACACAGATGAAGACTATAAAAATATTAATGAAGAGAGTGGGACTAGAAATCATAGTAGTTCTAAAGAAAAACTGTCTCTTCTAGAAGTTAGGACGATTTCTGAAAAAGCCAATATTATGACAGTACAAAATGTAAATAAAGTACAGCTACAGAACTGTGCTGTGAAGGTGGAACAGCAGAAGGGATTCGACAATCCAGAGGAAAAACTAAATGAGTTTCCAGTCATCTCTAATGAAGAAAGTAAACTTGAATTGTCAGGGAGCAAAATTATTATGGAGCAGCAGTCTAATCTACGGGCCAAGGAGAAGGAATGTGGAGACTCTAGGGAGAAGGACAGTATTAGGGAAAAATGGAGAAAACACCTGAAGGGCCCTTTGACCCGGAATTATGTGGGAACTTTGCAAGAATGTAAGAAGGAGACAGATGAGTTGTTAATTAGAGAAGCAAAGCCATGTCAAGAAAATTCAGATGTATTTCAAGAACAGGGGATCTCTGACTTACTTGGAAAAAGTGGAACTACTGGGAATGCCAGAGTTTTAAAAACTGAATGTGATTCTTGGAGTATGATTTCTAATCCTGCAGCCTTCTCCATTGTTCCTAGGAGAGCTACAAAAGGAAGCAAAGGGAATGGACACTTTCAGGGTCACTTATTGCTACCAGGAGAACAGATACAACCAAAGCAAGAGAAGAAGGGTGGGAGAAAAAGTACTGGCTTTACTGTTTTGGATTTGGAAGAAGAGGATGAAGAAGATGAGAATGAGAAAACCGATGATTCTATTGATGAAATTGTGGATGTTGTTTCTGACTACCAGAGTGAGGATGTTGATGATGTAGAAAAGGTGGTGAGCCCATTTTTGTTGTGACTGAAACCTCAAGGATTTAAATGATTTATTAGAGACAGTAGCTTTTCCAGAAGATCAGTAAGACCTAATACATTCAATTGGATGCCTAGGTTTAGATCATTATTAACAGCCCTGTAGCTTTTAGGATGTATCAGACAGGCAACATTTATTGGGCTTATCCTTTGACATTTGTCTGTTTTTTATGGTAAGGGTAGCTTGAACTTTTGGGGTATAGATGCTTGAGAATCCCTAGTAGCTTTAAAAGGAATGTTTTGAAACCACTACACCCATTTGATCTCAGTAGTTTCTTTGACATTTGCTACATGAAGTGATTCTAACTTATCTGTTAGATATAATATGTAAGAAACAGAATGAATGGGTGACCTTTGAACTGGAGGATAACCCTGTCTACCTGCATTTAGAGTGAAGTTTTTGTTTTGGAGAAAAACTAAAAAATACCATCTAATATTTTAACGTAATTCTGCCTTAAATTGCCTTTTAATTATCCTCTGAAGACTTAGTTTCCAGAATTTATATTTTAGACTTTAATTATAATCCTTTGTAATATGACTTTTATAATTGATTATTAAAAATTTCCTGAAGCATTTTTATAGGCCTCCGACTTAGGGGTGTATTAACTGAACTAAGTAATTGTGAGTCAGGTGTGATACAAAGCAGGAGTTAGAAAAGCTTTTTCTGTGAAGAGCCAGATAGTAAATATTTTAGATTTTGCAGGCTGGTTGGCTCAGCTGCTGTTGTAGTGTGGTAGCAGCCACAAACAATATATATGTTAATGACTGTGGCTTTGTTCCAGTAAATCAGGCTTTGATTTGCCAAATTCTGATATAGGGTCTGATGTAAAACATGAGACCATAGACAATCTATGGGGTGCCCTGAAATTAAACAATCTCCCTCTTTTTGGGAGCAGATGACATAGCCCTCTGTACCAATTATCATGTGGTTGATTGTTTCAGAATCTCACTTCCTTAAGATTCATTCAGCTCCTGAATTGTTTGGTCTTTTTTTGTTAATCCCTAATGCAGATAAAATATAACAAAAAGGTTAGTATTTTAAAACTCTAAAATGTTTAAATATTTTAATGTTCCTGGTTCATTATTTTTGAACCTCAGTTGTCTGATTTATAAGTGAGGATCTAGCTCTAAAATTGAATGATTCTATATGCATTTGCCTTATAATTTTCTTTGTAATCCTTTTCAAGGTTATATATCTAGAAATCTGAATTCATTGAGTTTAAAAGTTATATTGCAGATCTTATAGTGCTTTTTGTGATCTCCCATTGTAGTCAATCCAGAGAAAAATCAGACCAAAAAATAGTTCAACTTTAAAACTATTGCTAGTTACAGAATTGATTTTAATCGAGTCAGTTCTTTAGAGTGCCATAATTGCAAGGAGATACTGCTTGAAGGTGCAAGTTGGGAATTTCATAGATAATTTACACAGATTTTTTAAAAAGTAAGAACAGTATTTTAAATGATCTCCAAAATCTAAATTCTATATCATTTTTATGTACATGCCCCATGCTTAAGTTATTTTTATACTTGTTATTAGAATTAGATTGAAATGGTGTGAGCAAAGCTGTGAATAGCCACTTTAATGAAATACTGGGTACTTTTTTTTGGAAAGTCTACAGTTGAAACTATGCAGTAGGCAGACATTCTTCAGTCTAAATATCACAAAGCATATATAACTGAAATACTAACTAAAAATTCTGTTGGGATGCTGTTGATTTTGCTTCCTAGAATTAATGTTTATATACACTGTTTAAATTTAATGTATATTGTTTAAGTTGTACTTAAATTGGGGTGGGAACAAAAGATAGTTTGTATTTAGTGTCTATTGATCTTACAAAACCTATAATTTGGGGGTAAGTAATTTTTCCAAAAAGTCTATAAACATAACGAGGTGGTTGGGATGTTGTCTCTCTCTGGTACAGTGTGAGTATATATAAGAGATAATGTATTTCTTATTTAGTTTGTGGCATAGTAAACACTACTTTTAAAGGTGGACTTAAAAATATCTGCTTGTCCCATATATTCATATAACTTTAGTGTTTATAAACAGTGAATTTTTATGATAGATGCATATTGGTAAATGCTTACTTGATTGACTTCTTCTTTGGTATAAGGAACCACAACAATCCTGGGTTTCTTTTGAAATCTGAAATTCCTTAAGAGTTCTCATTCTGTGAGGTTGAGAGACTTTGAATATTGTCTGGGTTGTATTCTGTACCATATCTGCCTTGTGTGTGTTGATTTATTGGCATCTGATATGGTGTTAGTCATGAAACCCACTTAGGAAAGAGTTCTTCTCCTCCTTCTTCTCCGTCCTTCTTTTTTCTCCTTCTTTTTCCTCTTCATCCTCCAGGCCTCTTCTCTCCTTTTTCCTCCTCATTGGAACCCAGGGCCTTGCGCATGCTATTCAGTGTTCTACCACTGAGCTATACCCCAATTCCCAAATAGAATTTTGTTCTTTCCATATTCCTCCTTTCCAAATTTTATTTCACTGGCGTTTGATCTTAAGATTTAGGAAACCATAGCCAGGCACAGTGGTACTACCTGTAACCCCAGCTATTCAGGAAGCTGAGGCAGAAGGATCACAAGTTTAAGGTCAGCCTTGGCGACATAGTAAGATGCTGTCTTAAAAAGGGCCGGGGATGTATCATAGTGATAGAGTGTCCCGGGGTTCAACCCCCAGCACTCCTACCCGCCAAAAAAAAAGGCAAGGGGGTGGATTTGGGAAAGCCTTAATGAAGCCATACCTGAATTTTATCCTCTAGAGGTAACATTGAAGCATTAATGCATCCCGTTGGGAACTCTCTTTAGCTTCAGAATTAATGATGTCTGTTTAATATATATCTGTGAGTTTTGTAGTTCTTGGTGGTTATTAACTCAAATCATATGTTGTCTGACTTAATTCTTTTTTTTATGATTAACAAGTTTACAATTGTCAAATACTCCAGTGTAAGATCAGTGTTTGGTAGTAGTTGATTTTTATAAAGTGAGTATGCAGTTGGAAAGTTTAGGTGTGGGTGCACCTCAATACTTTATTTACTGTTGAAATGATGTTTTTCAGAATAACTGTGTAGAATACGTTGAGGATGATGAGGAACAAGTGGACATTGAGACTATAGAAGAGCTCTCAGAGGAAATTAATGTTACCCACAAGAAGACCACTGTAGTTCACACACAGTCATTCAAACAGCCGTAAGTCTTAATTTATCTTTGAGTTATAATTGTTGTTCCTGTTATAATTGTTGTTACTTTTTAATCAGAAAAAACCTATATGTTCTTTTTAGGACATTTAGGTAACTGACCTGGTTCCTTTATTCTTCTAGCTTTTTTTCTGACTAGTATAGATGAAAAGAGAAGCTGTGATTAGGAGCTGATTCGCTTGCCTTGGTTATTGTTCGGAGGCAGGGTATAAATGTCAATAATAGATGCTTTTGGAGAGTGATAGACTGGTGTTAAAATACTAGTTTTGAAGTGTTGAATAATACATGTAACTTGCATAATAACTGACACAGTGGACTACTCAACAAATGTTATTTATCTTTTAAGAATAAGGCATTAAATTCTAAATTTGTTTATTTTACTAGTTAAACAGGTGAGTTACAGGTTTGAAAATTTTCCTGCCTCTTCGGCTGATAAAATGAAAATACGGAGGATATGAGGACTTGCTCAGGAATATTTCCTTTTCTGTTTTAGTAAACTTTGTATTGATTAGGGACTGGGATTTGAGAGAGAAGGGAAGGAAGATACGACTTCTTGTTTTCTGCTAGACCTTGTACTTCTCCTGTTACATATGAAGTAGCAATGATCTGAGAAAGTAACTCTTCATCCCTACTGATGCTGAAAAAGTCTGAGGAATAGAAGGTAGGACTAGTAATTATCTTTACACGAGAACTATTTGCAGGCTACTTCAGTTACCTACTGGTTAAGCATGAAAGAGTTTTGAGTCTCTTAACTGAATTAGACTTAATAAGCTAAACAGTATTGTTGAATTAATAAAGCATGTTTTAAAACTGAGTTCCTAAACAGTAACAACAAACAAAATCTAAAACATACCATTTACACGAGTAACAGGAAAAAGAAAGTTTCCTTGGAATATATCTAATAAAAGCTGTGCAAGACTTTAATTATAAACTCATACTAAAAGACTTGAAATAATAATTCAGTCAATAGTGAGAAAAACCATATTAGTGGGTTAGAATAACAAAGGACCAAGCATAACCAATACAGAAAGAGCACAAACTATAAAGGAATAGATTGAAACTAAAGATTTAAGAGCCATGTTTAGTGTTCCTGAGGCCCTGAGTTCAGTCCCCAACCCTGCCCCCCACCTCAAAAAAAATAATAAAGATTTAATTTTTAAGTCTAATTAAATGTAAAACTTTAGCCGGGCACAGTGGCATTGGAGGCTAAAGCAGGAGGATGGAGAATTCAAAGCCAGCCTCAGCAATTTAGGAGGCCCTAAGCAACTCAGTGAGACCCTGTCTCTAAATAAAACATTAAAAAAGGCAGAGGGCTGGGCCTCAGTTGTAAAGTGCCCCTGGGTTCAATCCCTGGTACTTCCCCCCCACCACACACACACACACACAAACCTCAAAATTCTGTCAGAACACCTTGAAAACCATGAGAAGTCAAGCTTAGTCTATAAGTATTTGTAGTACATAAAACTGACAAAGGGTTATTAGTATTAGGATATTAAAAATTTGTTACCAGTCTATTAGAAAAAGATAATTCAGGGCTGGGGGTGTGGTTCAGTGGCACACTACTTGCCTAGTATGTGCAGGGCCCTGGGTTTGATCTCCAGCACTGCAAAAACAAAATATGATTCAGTAGAAAAATATGGATATCACAAGCTGAAAGCTTACAGAAGAGGAAACCTAAAAGGCCAGTAAGCATGTACAGATTTGTTCATCTTCACAAGACATTAGGGAAATGCAAATTAAACTGCAGTAACTGTATCAATTCATACTCTTAATATTCAAGTGTGTCAAAAATATAAATTTATGATAGTACCATATAAGCGTGGAGCAATGGGAACTCATAAAATTGTTAATGACCACTATGAGGTGCAGTTTAACATCTACTAAAGTTGAAGATGTGCATACCTCTTTCTTGAACCTAGTAATTCCACTCTTATGTTACCATACAACAGCTTACAACATGTGTACAAGGAATCATTGTTTTGCTGTTGTGAAGATTTAGAAATGACCTAATAACAATATAAAAACTACTAATATTCTTAAAAAATTTTTTGGTGGGCAGGGGGGATTCACACTGTGGAATACTGTATGCTAGTTGAAATAATCAGATTAGAACTATGTATACAACATATCTCAGGTGTAATGATGAAACAACTCAGTTGCAGAAAGATACAATATACTATTTAAAATGATACATAAATTTTTTTTGTTTAGAAATGGACATTCCTAAGAAAACTGAAGAAACACATTGAAACTCAATTCAGGAGTATTTACCTATGAGAAGGATGGAAGGGAATGTGATTGAATAGTCTGCATTTGGGGGTTGGTTTTGTTTTTTTATGGTGCTGGGGATTGGCCACTGAGCTACATTCCCCCCCCCCTTTTTTTTTTTTTAATTTTGGGATGGGTTGTTGCTAAGTTTGCTGAGTATAGTCTCAAATTTGTGATCTTGCGTCATTTCCCGAGTTACTGGGATTATAGGCATCTCATTGTACACAGGCTTTTCTTAGAGGAAAAAAAAAAAGTATGCTGTTGAATAAATAATATGGCCCACTACCACACCTTGGGGAAAATAAATTGGTTGTAATTTAGACAATTTAGGGTGGTATGCTTTAATATAGTTGTTAAATAGGTCTTAGATTGTTGAATTTCAATAAGACATTGAAAAATACTATATTTATCTAGGTGCCGTACCCATATCTCTGCTGATGAAAAAGCTGCTGAAAGGAGTCGAAAGGTATTTAGAACATATTTAATGATAATTACTCATTTAATAAAATTGGTAATGTTTATGTTAGAGTTGAAATAATATTAGCTATATTAACTGAGATTTTTTTCAAGGATGTTTTTCTCAAGAAGTTCATATAATCAACTTGTCCCCCCTTAACAAAATTGTACTGTTAATGTGCTTTTCTCCCTTTTAGTTCTACTTCCCCCAGAGAGGGAATAATTGAGTTCAAATGGGTATGAAGCCTATGAAAATTTATTTGCTTATTTGAAAACTAATTGTATATTGTAATGATTTGATGTGAAACAAGCTGGCATTCTTACTTGTAAGCCTAGGCTTGTACTTTTCAGTGGTCCAGATTGAGCCATGAAGTTATAAACTACCTTTAATTTTTTAAATGTACCATGTTACTGTGTTTTCTTTATTTAAGAGATAAGGCAGTGATGGGGATTAGGTTGAGGTGGAGGGTGGCATTTCATTTCAAATTCTCTCAAAAACCCTGCAGCATGATTGTTTGGCTATTTGAGGATCATAGGAAACATATGTGCATGGTTGTAATCATTTTTCATAAATATCACTATATTTGGTTATTTTTGTTTATTCTAAAACATATATTTAGATGGCAGAGCTTTCATAATAGCTTATTTACATAATCTTTTGTTTTATACCCAAATTATTACAAGCAAGTACTTGCAGTGCTTTCCTTTATTTAAGTTTGTTCTATCTTATTGCATTTTTTATTCTCCCATACTAAGTTAATGTACAGAGGGTTCAACTTTAGAAAAAATGTCTTTACCTTAAGAGTTTTTGGGCACTGTAAAGGTAATGATGAAAACAGACAGTATCAGGAAAGATAATTAACAGCCTCAGAGGGGGAATAAAAACAAAGCTGTGTAAGATAGGAAATGTAATTATTCAGTTTCTATGAATATTTATAGTGTCAGAATAGTATAAATACCCTCAGTGATTTTTTTTAAGAATTTGTATAACTCTGAGTAAAATATGAAAAACCTAATTTTATTCTTGAAAAATGTCTAAATATATATCACAGATTGTGCAGTGAAAGGGAAGAAAAAAAGAGAAGGATATAGATACCAATACCCTCATTTTACAAAGTGGAAAGTCAAAATAATCTATTTATTGTTATAAAAAAAGAAATTAAGAACTATATATTCAAGTTGCTAAGGGATCTAGTGAAGAACTAAAATTAGTGATATAGCTATATTAGAAAAATAGAGTGGCAAAGATATAAAAATGATGTGAGTTAAATCCTTTTCTGCATAGCAAGTAGTCAATAGACAGCATGAAAATATATAAGTTCTTCATGTATTTTTAACCTTACATTTATCTATAACTTGTTCATAAGAAGTAAATAATATTTAAAATTGAAATAGAATAAAAAAGATTAAAGGAGGCCTAAGGGGTTCTGAGAGTGAAGGCAGACTTTGCTGGGAAAAGTACAATGTTTGAGTTTTAGATGTTAAATTTTAAGTGCTATGGAAGATTGGGAGGGACAAAGGGGAGGGGTCATCAGGTGTATGCAAAAGGGGAGGTGTAGGATTGCCTTGTATGTTTTTGGAATTTCTAACAGTTGGGAATAGCTGGAGAAAAAGGTGATTTATAAGAGTGGAAGTTGATCCTTTATGGAGCTGTGAAAGATCTTACAGTATTTTTTTAAAAAAGTTCTTTTTTAATCATTTTTCCACTAATCAAGATATTTTTTTATATAATTTGTATCATGAAAATTAGTTTTGATAATAATAAATTATATAAATAAGCTTTACAAAAGATCCCATGTTCCAGACCGGATGTGGTGGTGCATGCCTATAATTCCAGTGACTTGGGAAGCTGAGGCAGGAGGATTGCAAGGTCAGCCTCAGGAAATTAGCGAGGCCCCAAGAACTTAGCAAGACCCTGTCTCAAAATAAAAACATTAAAGGGGGGTGCTGTGGATGTGGCTCAGTGGTTTAGTGACCCTGGGTTTAATCCCTGATTGCAAAACTAACCTCAACAATAAAAGATGCCATGTTCCCTCTTGCTCCCATACTTTTCCTCATTTGAGAACCACTGAAATTGAGTTGGAAATTGATATGATTATATTAGCATGTATTTGAATTTATACTGTTGACATTGTTGAAATTAGATTTGGAGGAAGGATAGCGTGGTATTAAGATGAGCAATCAAGAGGCTGTTATAACAATCCAGGCAGAAGATGATGGGTACCTGAGATAGAGCAATGCTGTTTGGGATAGTGGTAGAGGGCAGGTACATGTGAAAGATGTTGAGGAGGCAATCTCATTTGGACAGGCTCCACAAATTCCTTTAAAACTGAAACCTGATTACTGGAATGACAAACTACAGAAAGAAGCAGAAGCTTTTGCCTATTATCGCCGGACACACACTGCCAATGAGCGGCGGCGACGTGGTGAAATGAGAGATCTCTTTGAAAAATTGAAGATTACATTGGGATTGCTTCATTCTTCCAAGGTTTCCAAAAGTCTCATTCTTACGCGGGTAAGTGTGTGTCTAAGAGAACCTTATAGATAATATGGGAAAGGGGACCCATTGTCATGTGATGGAAATTGAAATAGAGCTACTTTAACAACTGAATGTGTACTAGCGAATGTTCAGTAAATTTCTTAGAGGGGGAAATTGTTATATTGAGTCAGAGTAGGTTTTTATTGAAAGCTAATTTAACTAACAGAGTTATCTTCCTTTAAATAAAATCAGAAACTCTAGGTAACTCTGTTTACCACATTCTCTTTACATTGTTCCTACTAGTACTTAGAAGAGTTTGTCACAGTATAAAGCATAGCATAAGTGATATATTCTTTTAATTGCAGATGGACACAGTGCCTTTTTATTATTTGTTTTTATGTGATGCTGAGGATCTAACCCAGTGCCTCTCACATGTGCTAGGCAAGTGCTCTATCACTGAGCTACAACCCCTGCCCATAAGTGATATTTTAACATACTTCATAACAGTTGACATTTTAAAAGAAAATCTGAAATATTCACACTAGGAGAAGTTTTAACTTTGCGCATAGAATAGCTTAGGGTAGTTTTGTTTAAATTGCTTTTAAGTAGAAGTTGGAGATATAGCTGGGCATGGTGGCACATACTTGTAATCCCAGCATCTAGGGAGGATGGGGTAGTTCAAAGCCAGCCTCAGCAACTTAGTAAGACCTTGTCTCAAAACATAAAAGGGGCTGGGAGTGTGGCTCAGTTGTTTAAGTGCCCCTGGTTTCAGTCCCTGATAAAAAAAAAAAAAAAAAAAAAAAAAAAAGTTGTTGAGAAATAATAGGGTAAGTATTCATATACCTCTAGCACAGTGTTCTTTCAACCAAATGTATGCTAGAAGATTAAAGTTGATTAAAATCTAAACTGAACGTGAATATTTTATATCTCTCTTCAAGAAATAGTAGAGCACCTGTTACTCAGTGATATTTTCTTTGAAAATAATCATTATCTACATTCCCTGAAAGTATAACCCAGAAAACTCCATGTGGTTTTACAAAAAAAAAGTTCTTATACATAAATAGTTGTTTTAAATAGTATTTTAAAGATCTTTAAATTATTAATTTATGATTTTGTCACTAAGAAAACTGTGTGTGGGAACATTATGCCTGTAATCCCAGTGATGTGGGAGACTAAGGCAAGAGAATCTCAGGTTTGAGGCTAGCCTAGGCAACTTAGGAAGACTCTGTTTCACAATAAAAAATAAAATGGGTTGGGGATATAACTCAGTGGTAGAGCACCCCTGGGTTCAATCCCTAGGGATTACCCACCCACCCAATTTATTAAAGAAATTTGTTAGCCTTCCTTGTTTTTGGCAAAGAATGGATCAATTGACATAATATTGCTATTTCTTTTCTAGGCATTCAGTGAAATTCAGGGACTTACAGATCAAGCAGACAAATTGATAGGACAGAAAAATCTCCTGACTCGAAAACGAAATATTCTGATACGGAAGGTATCATCTCTTTCAGGTGAGATAAGTAAATGGTCTTTGATAAAGAGCATAGTAACAGCTTTAGCAAGGAGAAATCCTCAGTAGACCTTTCCAGATACTACTTAGTTTAAGGCTTGGTGTTCCCTAAGTTTATATCAGAGTTATCTTTTGACTGGGTGGGACATACTTCTGGATTATAATCACTCTTGCCTTCCATAGTTTTGGGGAATATAGTTAAATCAACTGGATTTCAGTTGACTCTATTTCTCATTATTATGTGGGGTCATTCAGAGAGTGATAATTTATTCCCTATCAACCTGTAGGTAAGACAGAAGAAGTGGTCCTGAAGAAGCTAGAGTATATTTATGCAAAACAGCAAGCACTAGAGGCACAAAAAAGAAAAAAGAAGATGGGATCAGATGAGTTTGATGTGTCTCCCAGAACTAGCAAACAGCAGGAAGGATCTTCTACATCATCTGTAGATCTCGGACAGATGTTTATAAATAACAGGAGGGGGAAACCTTTGATTCTTTCCAGAAAAAGAGACCAGGCCACAGGTAGGAGGGACATTCTTTGCTTTCCTTAATATAGATGAACATCAATTTAATTAGTGGACTGAATGTCTTCTCTTGGCCATAATTTTAGTTAAATAAAAATGAATTATATAAAAAGTTGAATTAACATTAGATTTTTATTTCCACCTTTATACACTCAAGCAACTCTTGAGAAGCTAACCAGTTCTGATTAACATGTTGATCCTAATTCTGATGGTAGTCTATAGTTAGGTGATTTTAGTAAATGCTAACTTTTCAAACTATATATATTCCCCCACCCCTATCCCTCCTGGCAATTCTGCCAATGGGTTGATAAAATTTGGGTCTGAGACAAACTGGATTTTTTTTTTTTTTTTTTTTAATTTTGAGCTGGACATGATGATGTGACCTACTTGGGAGACTTAAGTTAGGAGAATTGTTTGAGCCTAGGAGTTTAGGTCTGGGCAACATAGTGTGAGACCTTGTTTCTTTTTAAAATAAATAAATAAATAATAATTTTTTTTTGTTGAATAGACTCTGTTTCTCATCAGATCTATTAAGGAACAAGGTAAATTGTTTTTAAGTTCTTTCTATTTGATTCTGAGAGTTAGGCTATACTGATTTTATATTATTTGTTTTTATCCTTAAAAGTAACATATATCTTTTTTTACTCAGGCTGGCCCAGTGTACAAACCAGAAAATATAGCTTAGTATATTAAAACCAGATGGATACTAAAATACAAGTTAGTTTTAACATTGCCAAATCCAATGACATTATCATCAAGAAAGGAATTTGATAGTATTATCTCATTTCACAGGTGGGAAAAACTGAGGCCTGGAAACTTGAAATACTTTATTAGAAGTGGATAGGAAAGGAAACCTAGGGATAAAATTTTTCTTCATTCTGACTGTCTGTCTAGAACATCAAAAGCATTCCATTGAAAAACTGCTTCCCTAGCTCTGTTCCTCAACAAATCATTTCTTTCCCTTAGGGAGAATCTTTGAACAGGTAACCATTACTCAGTGAAAAGTGGTTCAAAAAAGCAAGCTCCGCTAGTTTAGTTTTACTAAATTGAAATTTACTTCTTTTTTTTTCAAGTCAGAGTTTGGTTTTGGGAATGCCTCCTAGACTCCTGGACTACACTAGCATTAATTGAACATATTTTATCCATAACTAATTTCTAATCTTCCTTACAGAAAACCTCTCATCCTCTAATACTCCACACACTTCTGCCAACCTCGTGATGACCCCACAAGGACAAGTGCTCACTTTAAAAGGTCCCCTATTCTCAGGACCAGTAGTAACTGTTCCTCCTGCTCTCTTAGAAACTGATCTGAAGCCTCAAGTTGCAGGCGGTACTGTAGCTCAATCAGGTATGTCATGTTGACTCTGTGGGTAGTGGAAAAAAGTTCTCGCAGGTGTCTTACAGTGACAGAGGTAGCCCTTGGTTGCATTCTCTAATGATAGAAAGCTGTTCTGTTGGCAATGCCTTGGTGAGAGATAACATGTTTAACTTGGTCTTGTGGCACTGATTAGTGTATTTTACCTGGGATTGGGGACTATTTTGTGAACTCTATTTTTTTCCTAAGTAGAAGAATAAAAAAAGATGTCAAAAGTGAAAGGAATATGTTGAAAAGTCATTATCTTAATTTTTGGTGTTAATAAATATTTATCATAAATTTTTATGTTATACTCAGAAATCATGCACCTCCCACATTTCCAGCCTGTTTCAGTTTGAGCACCACTCCTTTTGGGGGTAAAGGGTTAAAAAGAACGTGTCATTTTGATGATTTAGGTTTCAGGCACCAAAATTTCTGTTAAAAAAAGGGTAAAGGGGATCCTCATCGACATTAAAGTCCTAGTTACTTTGTTGCCATTGCTAACAATAATTCCTTGTCTATACTACTACATCCACGCTGGAGGACTCCTCTGTTTCTTTTACTGTGCTCCTTCTAGGCTTTCATTTTACCTTCAAAGTAACAGCTAATTGGGTGAATCAAGATGCATTTTTGTCTTAAGATGAGAAGTAACTTGGCGAGCTTTTCTAAAAAATGATTCAGTGCAACTTTTTATTAATAATGGAATACCAGAGGGTCTTTTGGTTGTATTTTATTTGATTTATTATATTTCTTTCTTCTTGACAAAAGTAGACTGGTGAATTTTAACAATTCCCTAAGGTGTATGAATGGTGAGGAGTGGATGGGACAATTACTACTGTAGATCTAAATGAATTTCTTTTTTTCCAAATTTTTGTTTTTCAGAAAATGATGACTTATTTATGATGCCACGGATTGTTAATGTGACATCCTTGGCCACAGATGGAGGTGTGGTAGATATGGGTGGCAACAAATATCCACATGAAGGTACTGATGGGAAACCACTTGACCATCTGAAAGACACTGTCAGAAATGAAGATACCTCCTTAAAAGAATTGGATAGAATCTCTTCCAGAGGAAGCCATAGAGATGGCAGAATGGCATTGGGTCCAGCACAAGTTTTTCTGGCAAATAAAGATTGTGGTTTTCCACAAATCATTGATGTTTCCAGTATGCAGGAAGCACAGGAGTTCTTACCTAAAAAGATTACTGGTGATATGAGAGGGATTCGGTATAAATGGAAAGAGGGTGAATCAAGAGGGGAGAGACTAAAGTCTAAGGAATCTCCATTTCATAAATTAAAGATGAAAGATCTCAAAGACTCAAGCATAGAAATGGAACTGAGGAAAGTAGCATCAGCCATTGAGGAAGCAGCTCTTGATCCCAGTGAACTGCTAACTAGCATGGAAGATGAGGATGATACTGATGAGACACTGACTTCACTGCTCAATGAGATTGCCTTTCTTAATCAGCAACTAAATGATGACTCTGTTAGCCTGGCTGAACTGCCTAGCTCTATGGATACAGAGTTCTCAGAGGATGCTCGTCAGGCTTTTATCACTAAGCTGCCTCCCGGGAACAGAGCAACTTTCCAGGTTGGCCACTTGGGAACAGACTTGAAAGAATTGTCTGATGATATTCAAAGGGAGAGTGACTCCATCAGCCCCCTCCTCTTGCACTTGGAAGATGATGACTTTTCTGAGAATGAAAAACAACTTGTGGAAACAGCTTCTGAGCCAGATGTCCTTAAGATTGTTATTGACTCCGAGATAAAGGATTCCCTTCCTTCCCACAGGAAATCTAGTGATGGAGGGAAGAGTACATCTGGCCTCCCTACAGAGCCTGAAAGTGTGTCCTCACCGCCCATCCTACACATGAAGACTGGTCTAGAGAACAGCAACACAGATACTTTGTGGAGGCCTATGCCAAAGTTGGCACCTTTAGGTTTAAAAGTAGCTAATCCTCCTAGTGATGCAGATGGTCAGAGTCTGAAGGTGATGCCTTGTTTGGCACCTGTAGCTGCCAAAGTTGGGTCATTTGGACACAAAATGAACTTAACAGGGAATGATCAGGAAGGCCGGGATAGCAAGGTGATGCCTACATTGGCACCTATTGTGGCTAAATTGGGCAATCCTGGAGTCTCACCAGGTTCTGCAGGGAAATGAACTTTTTGTCCTCAGGCTGTGAGGGGAAATTGAATCTCAACTCCTTTCTCTGCAGACATCTGTTTATTTGTGTCATGGAACTATGCTCCTTGATTGGCTGTGATGGTATATATGGTGGATAATAATGGAGAAAGGGGGTAGGGGTGCTGGCCCTGGTTTAAGAAATACTATGAAATTCTGATCATGTTAAAATGTGTTACCTCACTTGTGGTGCTGGGTCCCCTCATCCTAAAATGTGATCCATTATTGAACACGAGGTGCCCCTCTTACCCAAGGCATTGATAACAAGACTGGCTCCATAGTGGTACCTAGTTCTCTCCCCAGAGAGAAAAGGCTGCTTGAGACTTTGGAATTGCTGTGGACTGAACTGTAGTTGATAACAATTAGATTGTCTAAAATCTAAGGAATGTGATGCACTTGTGCAAAGGGATTCAGAAGAGAGTTTTTAGTTGGCCTTTTAATAATAGGGAAAGATAGGTACCATGAAATACCAAAGTGAAGGATTTTATGTGACTCAGCAAAATCGTTTCTTTCATATCCCAACTAGCTTTCATTCCCTCACCTTTTCAATCAGAATTAACAAATTTTAAGCCTTCTGGTAAAGTAGGGATGAATTTAACTTTTACTATTAAGGTAATTATTTTGAGATGTTAAAGTGCTCCCTTATTGTCTTTGAGGGTATTAAAAAAATTATTTCATAGTGCCAGGGATTTCTGGAATATGTATTTTGGAGGTAGACATGGAGGGAGCCCTTCCCCATTCACAAATCATATCACTCTAGACAGCTAATGTGAAAAGCATTCTCTGTCCAGACCAGAGACAGTAGCCAAAATTAAACAAACAAAAAACAAAACAAAACAACAACAAAAAAAAAAACAAACAAAAAAAAAGAAAACAAAGAAAAGAAAAAAAAAATGGGGCTGGATATTTCCTAAATTAGCCTCCTGGTGCTTGAAGGTTTCATTCACTGTTACCTGCACATGATGTAAAGAAAAGTCAAGTCACAGTAGGCACTCTTTACCAGGGAAATAAGGCAGTATTTGAATCACAAGATATATTTTTTATCTGCTACCATGGATTCAATGATCTGTAGAGCTTTTTCACTCATTTGCTGTCAGGGTATGAACTGACAGCCTGTAAAGATAAAGATATTTATATTTTTGTATAGTTGTTTTCATAGATTTCTCAAAGGCTGAAGTTTTCAACCTAGAAGATGAGATTTGTATTGAGTATAGAAATGTTTCCTATCTAGTTTGTAAATAATCATGGTGCACTTGAGGGGTCTCTTGGAAACTCCTGGGGGCAAGAATCACTATTCTGAAAATGTATAGACTGGGATTTAGCTGCTGCATTTTGCCTTTCTTAAATGATTATATTTCGGAATGTAACCCCTGTTCTGTCTTCATTGACAGGATTTGCTTGTGTTGTAAAACACTAACACAAGAGCTTCCAGTGCCTGGGCTGTGCCTGGGTTATGCTGTTTCTTCTATATGCCCTGCCTTCTTTATCCCAAGTCCCACTCAGCATTATTCAGACCTAGGTTATGAGACCAACTTTGGAATGGATCTAGCCAGTGAATTATTACTTCCATAGTGATTCCTTTTCTATTAACTCTGGTAATCAACAGATTGAAAAGGATGGGAAAATTTACTCTGCAAAGTGCCCTGGGGTAAATTCTTTGTTGGTTTTGTGCTGCTTGCCTTTCTAGACCTGCTTATCGGCACTTAACCTTCACTCATTGCTGAAGAAGCTTGAAGTAGTTAAAAGAATGCTCCTCATTATTTCTTCTACTCTTTACCCAACAGATATCATCCAATGCCTTAGCCAAGGAGTCCAGCCCCTGTCTTCCTTCCTAAAAATTGTTCTTGGAGATGCCAGTTCTTTAGCCTGGGTATAGCAGTTTCCCATTATTTCGTTGTCTCATCCCCACATTTCCTCCTGACTTCCCAAGGCTCTTGTTCAGTGGCTTTTGAGGGTCAGCCAAGGAGCAAGCAAGGGAGTGAGTAATCCTCAGGAAAAGAAGGACCATTTAAGCTTTTGAACACTTTCCCTTCCTTAGAAGAAAATAGGCAGATGGGCCAAGGTCAGTTCCTGATTAAAGGATATTTGGCTGTGCTTATATGAAGTGAAAAATACAGAAATGAGGGATAATTCCCGGTGTTCAGAGAAGACTGTAGATGTCATTACAATCCCCACAAGCGCCAAGATACAGTGTTCTTAATACAGAGCTAATTTGAGGAGAGCTCAGTCTTCAGAACAAACCTGCAGTTTTGGCAGCAATCTGAAATCTCCAAAAATGCTTACCCTTTCACCTTACCCTAGGAAAAACTGATCTATGAAAATTACATGTGTGATTATGAAAGATGAAGTTGAGAGAGAAGAGTTGAGGAACCTGGAAGACAGTGAGCTCTCACCCTAACTCTTATAAGAAGCATGATCTCAGTAGACCAATAATTCGCCTTTTTATACAACTGTAAATAAATGGAATGTTTTTAAGAATATAATTATGTCAGATTTAGCATTTTCTTTTATATATTAAATATATATATATATATATCTTTCCTTTTCTGCTTTTGAAAGTGACTATTTTTTTAGAAACAAGAATAGAAGTTGTTTGGCAATTAAAGGGCAGGATGTGTAAGCCTGAAATAAATTAGTTGTACTAATGAAAGCAGGACTTGGTGTTGGGAGGTTTGTGCCGAGTTGGAGTATATAATTCTTAATGCCCTGAGACCTATTTAAGAGCAGGTATCTTCGAAGCAGTTTTTTATGGGAATTTCTTCCTGTTTGCAAAGTTTTTGACATGCCATTTGGGGGAGGTTTATTATTCTAATCCTTGTAGCATGTCATACATGGAGGCTTCAAAATTTTGAACAACCTGATGGCAAATATTTGTTTCAGAAGTCATTCTACAGTGAAGAAAGGCTAGCCTAATACTTTGTGCAAGGCAGTTTGTTACCTTGGGAAATAACAGGATATAAAACAACAATCTTAGTAGCTAAGGACAGTAAGTATTCTTGAGGCAAGCAAGATACTATGTGACTACTTTGATAATTTACAAAAAGTTTTATTAAAGGCATTTTTTAGAAGTTGAGCTACTCCTATTTAAGAGGTCTCTAACAGATCAAGTTCAGTAATACAAGCTTCATATAGATTACTTACTTTGTATAATTTTATAATAAATGCAGTTGCTTTTTCCCAGAATTATGGATGAAATACCTGATGCTAGATCTTTCTGTAACTGGCTTGAAAATATTTTGAATATAGGACAAAGGCAGACAATCCATGTGTTATTTTTGACAGTGTTTATTAGTATATATTTTTTTCCTTAACTATACTGATTGAGATATTTGAAAAGGAATGGGGTGGGATGAATTGAGAGGTAAATGCACTTTGAAGACAGGTCTAGAAAATAATGATTACCCTTGTCCCTCACTCCCAGAATTAACAAACAACAAACAAACACAACAACTATACACCATGTAGGTAGCACATTTCAGGTACTTCTATGAAGAATGACTAATAAACCAAGAATCAATACTTTTCTTGCACAAAATGTTGGTTTTGGAGAAAGTACTATGAGGAAATAAATTTTACATGGGCATGAATGGCTGGTGCATGGAAAATTAAAGCGAAGTTAGACTTACTGTCAGTTGAACAAAAACAGTTAAAATACATATTTGAAATAAAAGGAAATTATTTGATATATTTTTAAACCGGGACAACTGTAATATATTAAAAATGACTGAACTGTTCTACAAAGGCACATAAATATTAATAGTGATGGAGGTGAGTGTGGAGGGTGCTAAGGCTAAACCATTAAATTTTATCATTGTAAACTGCTGGTAGAAGAGATTTTTGTTGAATAGGAAAGCAGCATTGGAAGCATTGTCTTGAAATCTATCCCCTTTCCAACTGCAGTCTTTGGTCTCAGCTGTCTCACAGTGCCTTGCATGTAAAGGTGCTCAATAAATTTGAGTTGATTAGCAAATGTTTAGCCTGTTAAGTTTTCCAGAATCATTTAATTGCCCCTTACTTGCCTAGGGTGAATATACAGCTTGCATCTAAAGAGCATAATGCTAAACAAGACAACTATATAACATTTATTCCCAGACATCTAGAATTTTAGAATATGACAAACATGCATACAGATTTAGTACATATACAAGGAGAATGAATAGTGAAATAGTGTATGGGCAATGAAATACTTTTATATAAAGAGACAACTGCATTTTGGAGAGTTGGGATGACAAGTATTTAAGGGGAGAGATAAGGGAGTAACACTGATATTCATACTGGACCTGGGATTTTTTTTTTTTTTTTGTAGTGTAGATGGACAGAATGCCTTTATTTTATTTCTATATGGTGCTAAGGATGGAACCCAGTTCCTTGCACATGCTGGGCAAGCGCTCTGCCACAGAACTACAGCCCCTGCCCTGGGAGTGTTGTTTTCTAAGGATTTCATGAAGCATGTGAACAGCCTGCACTTATTTCCATATTGGCATCTCAAAAGGTGGTATGGTACTTGGACAATAAAGGTTGGCTTGAATTGTGAAAAATTAAAAATGTGATTTTGGGCTTTGGAAGTTTCCAGATTCCATCCTCTCATTACACTGTTCTCAGTTGTATTTTATCTTAAAAAAGGATCATCTTAGTAGATCATCTCAGACAAGAAAAGCAGGAGCTTTGCCAGTGCAACTTCAATTTAAAATGAGAACAATTCAGAGAACCTTTTCTCTGAAACTAAACTGAAGTAGCTTTAGATAAGAAATAATCAATGACACTTAATAAACCCTTTATTTGGCCATGAGTGGGTAGGTGAGAAAGCTGTCAGTGGACCCAAAAATGACCTGGAGAGAATTTAAAAAACTGTGGGCACACTTTTTTCTTGTTTCATGGATAGAAGTGGAAGTTGCTAGGGTTGGCTGCACACAAGTAAAAAACACCAGGTGGCACCATTTATTAGCAGTGTTATATTAGCTTTGTGGAAAAGTCCAAGCACAGACTGGCAAGGTGTTTCTGGAGTCAACCACCTGTTTGTACAATTAAGGCTAATGCCTCTTGCCTCCTTTTTCCAGTTTTGGGAAAGTCCCATTTTAGTTCCATTAGATCTACAATGCATTGTTGAAGGGTAGAAGGCCTGACTCAATCTATTGCCAGTGAGATGTTATAAGGGGTGACATCTTTCCTGTCCATGTCAACCTGTGAACTTTTATGAATCTTGTTTTTAATATGTGGCCAAAGTATACGCAACACCTGCTTTGCCATTTGGTTGTATCAGGTCTACCCACTGTTTAGTCGTCTTTCTTGCTAATATATAATCTTCCTCAGGAATCCCAAAGATCTGGATAGGGTGAGACAGTGTACTACTATTCTTCAGGTCCAAGTTTTCTGACGTAGGCTTAACTTTTATCTATGAAATAGGAATACGTAGTGATATTTCCATGTGTTCCCCTCACCTCCATGAGCAGGAAAAACTACCACCAAATAGTCCAAGAAGGCTTCACAGTGACCTCGGCAAGTATCCCTGGGGAAGAGGGAGTAGTATTCACAAGTAAAACTTGACAGGACCGAGGGAAACATCTGGAATAACACAGGCCTGGTTAACTGCGGGGAGAGCACTACAGGACACAAAACAAATCCCATAAACTAATTGACTTGGTTTCACTCCTGGCTCGCCTAAAGCTGTATTCGAAGTTTCTGTCTCCCGCCCCTTTCTTCCATCACGACCAATCAGCTTGCCCAGATGAAACCCTGTTGTTAGCGTTTGAATTGGATTACTCCGAAGAATCTTTTAACACGTGGGCCAAGCACTAGGTTGGCCGTGATCAGAAACTATTGGAACCGCTTTAAATCCTAGCGTTTGGGGTGGGATGGGAGCCGAGTTTTTTGGCTGTATCTCAACCTCGTAATTCTGAGCTAGTTTGTTTCAGCCACGGTCCCTCGGGCCTATCAAAAGCCAACGTTAGCACTCTGGGGGCGTGGTTATCGTCTTGGGGCTCTGGGAAGTGCAGTTCTCTGGGGCACCAGGCTTATAATACCATAAAAGGCCTGGTTCTCTCAATTCTGAAGCCGTGTTCTGTTGACCTTCTTCTAAGAGCGGTACCCAACAATTATACTGTGCGGAATCCGTAGTTCTTCAGTCCCGAGTCCTTGTCTTCCTAGGTCTTTCGCTGGCTCCGCCCCCGCAAGCCTGGTTTGTCCAGTCGCGAAACGACCTCCTGGCTACAGACCGCACCCCCTTGCGTCGGCTCCTCCTTCCCAGTCCCTAGCTTGGCCCAAGCGCTAGTTCGCGTTTTGAGCCGCTCGTGCCACCATAGCTGCTGCTGCCGCGGCCGCAGCGGAGCTGAAATCGCCGAGCGCGATGCCTGAGGGCGCTGTGAGCCGGGCAGCCCTCGAGCCCCGGGGCTGGTGAGGCTGGGCCCGAGCGGGGGCGCTGACGAGTAGCAGGGGCTTCTGAGGCGGGTGAAAGAAAAGTCTAGGCGGTTGTGGAGGGCGGAGAGCGAGCTCCTGAGGGTCGGGGGTGGGGGAGGGAGGCTCCCTTAGCAGAACGAGTTGCAGGGCCATCACGAGCCCAGCCACACCGTGTCCTCGCAACCGCCAGCACGGTCCCCCGTGAACCTCCCAGTGGCCGCTTCCTCTGAACAGTGCGGTTTCCATGGGAACAGTTCGGCGTTAACGGAGAACATACCTTCCAGTAGTTCTACTAGAATCTGCCCCATTCTCCAGTTAAATGCCTCTCGCAGGCGTGGGCCTGGCATTTGTTCGCAGTTCAGGGTCCCCCCCGCCCCTTTCGTGTAGCTCCTTCCCACGTTGTAAGAAACCACGCAGGGCTTAAAGGTGGGGATGAAGGAAAAGGGGAGGGCAATACCTAGGGATAAGAGTGGCAGACAGGTAGGCAGAAGACACCTACTGTGATGTTGAGGTGGCTTCTGCCATCTCAGGCCAGTGAGAGGTCATTTTGGAAGGCTGTTTGGAGTGAGAAGGCAGTGCCACAGTTGAGACAGGTCCCAAGACTGGACCAGGGACTGTCCCACCGGGCTCCTCATCATGATGGCGGTGGAAGGGTCAACCATTACCAGCCGGATTAAGAATCTGCTGCGGTCCCCATCCATCAAATTACGCAGGAGTAAGGCAGGAAACAGGCGAGAGGACCTCAGCTCCAAGGTGAGTCATAGCCACCCTCTTTCCATCTCTTTATCTTCTCCTTGCTCCATGTTCCTATTTCACCTTCTTTCTTGGGAAAGAAGAGAGCTAGACACTCCTGTTGTCTCTAAAAGATCAAATATGCAGGCCTCTGCCTCTCAAGCAGGCAGTGATTTGGTTTTGGGTTGGAGGAAAAAGAGCGGTGTGGGTAGGCAGTGGTGAGATTCATCCATGAAAAGAGGTGAATAGTAGGAAGGTGAGTTCAACTGTGATCTCACTACAAATTAAGTGTTTGCTTCGGGAAGCTAGTTGATATACTATGACTCAGTTTCCCTTCTTGGAAAGGGCTGATGGGACTACATACCCTATGTGACTAATGTGGCTGCAGTATTGACAGCTGGGTTTATGTAAGACTGTAGTAACAGAAAGAAATACCTTAACATCTTAAGCACCTTGTCTGAAATATTGGTCTGGTAATTGCTCTTACCTGGGGTCAAAACAAATTTGTTTCTTTAAGAGACCTAATTAATTAACTGGAGTATCTTGGCCTTCTTAGGAATGAAAACATGCAAGGAGCCACATATGTGCCAGCAAAAACAGTTCTCTTAAGTTTGCCCTTGATATTGCTTATCCCATTCACTGTATGCCAAGAGCCAAGTGGTTCCCAGAGGCAAAGTCCTTTTTTCCATCCCATCACTTGTCTGGGTTTTGGTCCTTATGCTTTATTCAACTTTGTTAAACCCCACAACTTTGGTAATACAAAAATAGACTAAATTTATTTACTCCCTCAAGGGAATCTATGTCTTTGTTCCCACAGGATCAGATTAAATTGTGTATCTTATTAGCAGTCTGTAAACACAATAGGCTTGTGTGGTACAGGACTGCTACAGGGAGAGTCATTTGAGACAGTAGCATTTTATTGCCTTGCCTGACTGTGAGAGATGAGTAAACCTGGTGAATGAGTTAAGAGTGCTGATGTACAACATGACAGGGTTCTGGGAGGACTTAGTTCAGACCCCTGTCCTTTAGCAGAACCTTAATTGGATTTGAATAAGAAGGTGAACAGCTTTTCTTTATATTTCAACAGGGGATATAGTGAATAAAAATTTGCCTCAACGTTCCATGGTGGTGTAGATAGTGATCCTTCCAAGTCTTTTTTTTGTTTGTTTTTTTAAAAGATGGGTTCTCACACAGGGTCGGATGGTACATTCCTATATTCCCAGAAGCTTGGGAGGCTGAGATAGGAGGATTGAAAGTTAAAATCCAGCCTCAGCAATTTAGCAAGACTCTGTCTCAAAATAAAAAATAAACAAGGATGGTGTTGTGGCTCAGTGATTAAGCACCCTAGGTTCAATCTCTGGTACAAAAACAAACAAACAAACAAACAAAAAATGGGTTCTTGCTTGTTGTCCAAGCTGGTTTCTAACTTCTGGACTGAAGCAATTTTCCTGCCTCAGCCTCCTGAGTAGCTGGAACTGTAGGTGCAGACCACCATGCTTGGATTTTTAAAGAACTCTTAATAATCATTGTTCCTATTTTCTAGAGGCAGGAGAATGAACCTGAAAGTTAGAAATTGTCTTAGATATGACACTTTTTGCTCATTCTTAATACTGCAGATGCTCATATTCATGGCCAGTAACTTGGCAGTGATCAGAACTATTAGAACAATCTTCAGGAATGGAATATATGGCAGAAATATATAATGGAAGTTTAGTTTTCAGTGTGAATACTTTACTGCAATTTTGGTCTGGAATCCAGATAGTACCATCACCATTTTTTAAAACTGTCATTCATCATTAATGTAGTCAACAAGTGTTTATTTAGTCCTATTAGGTATAGAGTCAG